GCGACAAATACGACAAATCCGAGAAATCCAAAAAATCCAAGAAAATCCAAGATAATCCAAGAATATCCAAAAAAATCCAAAAGATCCAAAAACGTCCAAAAAATCCGAAAAACCCAAGAAACTCAAGAGGTACAGTACGATAATTTGTAATCTCAAAAAAACAATAATCTAAAAAATCCAAAAAATCCAAAAGATTCAAAAGATCCACAAAATCCCAAGATTCAAAAAAATCAAAATATCCAACAAATCCAACAAAACCAAGAATTCAAACAAATCCAACAAATCCAACAAATACGACAAATCCGACAAATGCGACAAATCCGAGAAATCCAAAAAATCTTGGAAAATCCAAGGAAATCCAAAAAAATCCAAAAGATCCCAAGACCCAAAAATCTAAGACATTCAACAAATCTAAAAAAACCTAAAATATCCAACAAATCCAACAAAACCAAGAAATCAAACAAATCCAACAAATCCGACAAATCCGACAAATGCGACAAATACGACAAATCCGAGAAATCCAAAAAATCCAAGATAATCCAAGAAAATCCAAAAAATCCAAAAGATCCAAAAGATCCAAAAGACCCGAAAGATCCGAAAGATCCAAAAAACCCCAAGATTCAAAAAATTCAAAATATCCAACAAATCCAACAAAACCAAGAAATCAAACAAATCCGACAAATACGACAAAATCGAGAAATCCACAAAATCCAAGAAAATCGAAAAGATCCAAAAAATACAAAAAACCCAAGATTCTCAAGAGGTCCAATAATTTGTAATCTCAAAAAATAGAATAATTGAAAAAATCTGGAAATTCCAAAAGATCCAAAAAATCCCAAGATCCAGAAAATTCATCCAACAAATCCGAAAAATCTAAAATATCCAACAAATCCAAAAAATCTGACAAAACCGACAAATCCCACAAATCCCACAAATCCGACAAATCCGACAAATCCAACAAATTCGACATCTGAAAAATCCGAAAAATCCGAAAAACACGAGAAACTCAACAATTTGTAATCTCAAAAAAAAACAATTATCTAAAAAATCTAACAAATCCAAAAAATCCAAAAGATCCAAAAGATTCTAAGATTCAAAAAATCCAAAATATCCAACAAATCCAAAAATGCGACAACATTGATAAATCCGACAGATATTCAAGAAAATTCAAGAAAATCCAAATAAGTCCAAAAATCCAAAAAAAAAAAAATCAAAAATCTAAAAACCTAAAAAAATCCAAAATATTCGAAAAATCAAATAAACCAAAAAACATGAAATCGAAAAAATTCAAGCAACTGGAGACATTCCATAGTTTGAAAACTAAAACATCCGACAAGTCCAAATAAATTTCAAGAAAACCAAAAAAATCCCAAAAAACCAAAAAGTACAAAATCGTTCTTTTAATTTTCTTTTTTTCATTGTGTTTCTCGATTTTTAGATTTTTTTTCCTTCAATTTTTGATTTGCAATTACATATTCTAGTTTTCATTTTAAAAATGTAATAAACTATAATTTTCAAAAATTTTTAGTTTTTCAATTTTACGATTTTACAGTTTTTCCATTTTTCAATTATTGAATTATTGTAAAATTGTAAAATGGAAAAGTATGAACTGAAAACTTTGAGAAATTTAAAAAATTTCGGAGTTCGACAAATCAAAAATATCCGGAAAATCTAAAAAAATCCCAAAAAATCTAAAATATCTAAAAAAGCCCAGAAATCCAAAATAATTTCAAAAATCGTAGAAATCCAAAAAATCCAGAAAATCTAAGGAATAAAAAAAATCGAAAAAAATTAATGAATCGAAAAATTGAAAAATCAAAAAGTCGAAAAACTGCAAAGTCGAATAAATGAAGAAGTGAAATCTCCAGTAACCAAAAAATGAAAAATCAATCTAAAATTAAAGAAAAAAACGGAAATTTAAAAATCTAAAACTTGAAAAATCTAAAAATTGAAACCGGAAAATTGTAAACAGAAAAATTAAAAAATCCAAAAATTGCAAATTCGAGAAATTTTAAATCGAAAAAATTAAAATTGAAAAAACAAAAAATTGTAAAACGAAATAAAAAAACCGAAGCGAAAAATAGCAAATCGAAAAATTGAACAATTAAAAATTGAAAACTGGAAAAACTCAACGGAAAATTGAAAAACTGCAATCAAGTTCCGTCCTCTGAGTCATGACGAATAAAAAAAATCATCAGAATTGCGATAGGGCGGGTGGGTGGGGCTTATATTTTGCCGCCTTTTTTAAACATACGTAGTCATTTTTTCACAATAAGAAACATAAAACATGATAAATTTTTGTAGACAAGTATGGATTTTGTAATTATGCTCCGTCCCTCTGGCTAACAACGAATAAAAAAAATCATAACAATTGAGATAGGGTGGGTGGGCGGAGCTTATTTTGCTTTGTTTTGCTTTTTTTTTTTAATGAACGTAGTGTTGTGTTCACAACAAGAAACTTAAAACATATTTAGAATGGTAAATTTTATCCACCACATTTCTTTACAAATTTACTATTTTAAAAATGTTTTCAGTTTCTTGTCGTGAAAAGAAAACTATGTAGACATGTTAAGAAAAAAAAAGGCAAAATACAAACCCCACCCAACCCTCTGTAATCTTAAAGTAAAATTAAAATTGGGTTGGTGCAATGTAATACTAATAATAACAACAGTGTTGTATCTCCAAATTTTCGGGAAAATTGAGTGAACTATTCCTGATTTAATCAATAAAATAAAATAACTCATTCATTCATTTTTTTGAGCGACCTGTTAAGCAAATCTAAAAAATATGAAGTACAAGTACAGACTCATCATATTTTGCACATTTTAGATAGGACATATTCAGCAAAATTTTGGGGTGACGTCATCAATTTTTTAGAGGGGATGAGCAAATACATTTTGAATAAAAATTTATCATGCTTATCACAACTGTAAATCATCTGCAAGATTTCAAAGCATTCAGTTTCGCAGATTCCAAATTAAATTGCAGAATGTTGTTTCATACTTTTGATTTTTATTTTTTCAAAAAATCTGGACGTTTCGGGTAAAAACTCAATTTGGAGTCGTAACCTACATGTATAGGACTATGTTATTTTATACAATTTAAAACCCATTTACAATGTACAATTTTGAAGTGACGTAACAGGATATGCAAAAAATCCAAAAGAAATCCAAAATATCCGAATCAAACGTTCAAAAAGCCAATGTAAGAAAATAGAAAACAAAACGAGAAACTGACGAAATAAATCCAAGAATCCCGAGCAATCTAATAATTTGCAATCCAAAAAAGTATAAACAAATACAACTAATTAAAAAAATCCAAAGAACTTGAAAATTCCCGAAAAACCGAAACAACCGAAGAAATGCAAAGAATCCAGTAAACTGTAGAACAATCCAAAAAATTAAAAATTATTAAAGAAATCGAAAAAGACACGAAACTGGAAATCCAAAAATTGTAAAATTTAAAAATTGGAAAATCGTGGAATTGAAAAATGAAAAACTGAAAATTTGAAAGATTGAACAGATGAAAAATTATAAAATCCAAAGAAACATCGAAAAAATAAAGGAAATGAAAAAAGCAACAATTGTCAAAAAATCGAGAAAATGAAAACCAAGAATCAAGAACTTGAAAAATTTAAAATTGAAAAACTAAAAAATCGAAAAATGCAAAACTGTAATATCCAAAAATTTGAAAAATAAAAAGTCGCAAATCGTAAACCTCTTCTGCAGTTTTCAATATTTTGCGATTTTTTAGTTTTTCGATTTTTCAATTTTTCAAATACAAAAAATGGAGAAATTGAAAAATCAAAAATGAAAAACGAAATAGTGCAAAATAAAAACTCACCAAAAAATTGGAATTCAATAATTTGCAGTCTAAAAGAATAAAAAAAAATCCAAATTAAAAACACCCTTGAAATCAGGGTAACCCAAAAATCCAAAGAATCTAAAAAATGTAAGAAAATTCAAACAAACCCAAACATCCAGAAAATTCAAAATATCCAAAAACCCAAGAAGTCCGAAGAATCAATCCAAAGAAGCTGAAAAATTCAAAGGATTAGAAAAATCCAGAAAACCCAATGAATCCGAAAAAATCCAAAGTACCCGAAAAATTCGAGAACCCAAAATACCAAAAAAAATCGAAGAAATCCAAAAACCCAAGAAATCGAGAAATCCAGTTATTTGAAATGCCAAAAAAATCCAAGCAATCCAAACAATTAAAAAAAAAACACAAACAATCCGAAAAATAAAAAAGGAAATTTTGACAATCGAAAAATCGGGTAATTGGAAATTCAAAAAATGTAAAATTTAAACACGGAAAAAATAAAGGAAATGAAAAAAAAACAAAAATTGTTGTTATTGAGAAATTGAAAATTAAAAAATTGCGAAAATGAAAAGTAAGAATCAAGAACTTGAAAAATTAAGGAAATGAATAATTGAAAAATCGAAAAAGGAAACACTGTAATATCCGAAAATTGCAAAATTAAAAAGTCGTAAGTCGAAAAACTCTTCTTTTTTGCGATTTTTTAGTTTTTCGATTTTTCCACTTTTCGAATAAGACGAAATGGAGAAAATGAAAAATCAAAAATTATAAAATTAAAACACCGAAAAATCGAAAAATTGCGAAGATTTCAGAGCCTTCGATTTGCAGCTTCGAAGTTAAATTGAAAGTGAAGGCAATCTCATATATAATAATTATTAAAAATTGCGAATCGAAAATTTTAAGAAATGAAAAACTGAAAACTCAAACAATTGTATTAGCTGAGAACCGAAACAAAAAAAAAAATGAAAAGCGATAAATATAAAAATTGGCCGACAGAACTTCCTTCGCTCCTCAAACACAATGATCTTTTTTTAGTCAGCCTGTATAGGCAAATCCAAAAAATATGAATGGAATGATAAATCACAAGTACAGACTCATCATATTTTGTACATTTTAGATAGGATTTATTCGGCAAATTTTTGAGGTGACGTCATCAATTTTTTGGAAGGGATAAGCAAATATATCTTGACTAAAAATTTATTTATAATGCAAAAAAAATCATCACCGATAAGTTGTGGCCGAAAGACACCATCTCGAGGACCTTCTTCGCGACTTCAATATATTTTCGTGTCTAAAGCCAGTACACTTTTCGTGGTGTTGTCAACAGGAAGTGCGTTCACAGCCGTGAGAAATTTCCTCGAACTCCACGCCCGAAATTTGTCCACAATGTAACTCCTCGCAACATTTCTGCTCAATTCCACTAGAGAAGAAACCGTCGGCATCCTCTTCACCTTCTCTATCAACTTCTTTCTTCGGCACCTACTCAAACAGAACTCCTTCACCTTCTCGTGGTTGAAATAGTCGAAAAACGCATCTAGGGAAATTTTAGGACCAGTCCGATAATCTCTTTCGTAATAAAGACTGTAAAAAACTGGTTTAGGTTTCTTAATTCCATCAGTTCCCGTCGTCGAGCAACTATCTTCCTCCCTGACCCTAGTTTGCATTTCCAGACACGCCCAAAACTCTCGATATTTAAGTGCTTTGTCTTTATTCGCTCTTACGGAGATTAAATTTAAATCACTGGAGCTCACCGAGGGCTCAAAAAGCATTATAAACTCCGGGTCCTGCAAGCACAACCCTGGGTCAAAATGCAGAACTACCATCACAGACACCTCATTTTTCCAGTGTACGTTATCGTCCACATCCATATGTAACAAAATTCGAAACAAGTCGTTGTGGCCGTATCGACCATACACAAAGTCGAGGTCGTGGAAGGTCACTCTGAGGCCGTAGGACACCATCTCGAGAATCATCTTCGTGATTTCGTCTTCGTCGAACCTGAAGCTGAACAGTTCGATTAATTGTGCGATAATAATGTCAGTTCCTGGTACTGCAACCCAAATCTCGTCTTCGTAAATTCGTTTAGGCTCAGTAGCTAGATGAGTCTTGGGACGTGCGAGTTCTTCAAGACACCCTCGTGCAACAAGGGCGTCCAAAACTGCCGCATATTCGCCAACGTCATCCCATCCGGCCGGCCAAATTATCATCCAGTATAAAAAAAACTCGTCGATTGCAGCTCTCACGACGTGCTCGAACTTGTCCAAGAAGAGGAAGAAGTGTTTTTTGACCAAGTATCTGAATTTGTTGCGGAAAAAAATTAAGTCGGTGTCGTCGTAAGTCACTTCTTTGGCGACTGAACAGAGGTGACGGAAGTAGGAGGAAGTTTGGAGCATGGCCACCGTCATGGTGTGGAGCGAGACGGAACACCCGTCCTCGACCGAATAAGGGAAAAGGATGTCCAGTGCTACGTCACTGTTTTCGTCGCATGGGAGTAGTTCTATGGGTAGCAAACCGTCTGAGTTGGGTGCGTTGGGGTCGACTCCATGGTATAAAAGTTTGCAGATGAGTTCAAGGTCTCCTTTTTCACAGGCGCTGTGAAGAGGGAAGGAATTTTTGAGGGTCCTGAACGGGGACCAAGGTCCGATTGGTGGAAATCTTCCTTTAGATGGATCGCGGCTCTAGAAACAAACAATTATTCACTTGGTGTTTAACTCTCTTCTGAAAAAAAGTTTCAGACTTTAAAACTATTCGTTTGAAGACACCTACCGGATTTTTTGTTGTTTTTTTCTCACCTCGACACCAGCTGGAGTTCCCCATTACATTAAGAAAAGATGTTAGCCGGAAAGGTTTTGTATGCGGCTTTTCTTGACGCACTTTTCCTCCAGACAAACCGACGCCACTGCTAGATTCTACCCGTGAATATTGATTCCGATCGTTTAGATGTATTTGTGGTATAGGCCACCAACAAAACACTAAAATTTAAGTTTTGCCTGAAACGAACAAAGAAAATCGGTCAGAGCGGGTCAGGTCAGGTCAGGTTTCTTTCATTTTCAATTTAACTTTGAAGCTGCTTTGTCGTACTCAATGTAAATCGTTACTCAAAGAATTATTCGTTCATATCCTCCCAAAAAATTGATGACATCATCTCAAAATTTTATTAATTTTTCATATTTTCAATCTATCTTTCAATTTCTCGATTCTCCAGTTTTTAAAATCAATCGTCGAAAAGGAAACAGGGTGGGTGGGCGGGGCTAATTATGTTCTTCTGTCGAGTGGGAGTGGAAACTAATAATGGAATAATGGAACAAAAATGAATAATAATTTCCTTTTTCACCTACAAAATTTTTATAGAGAGCTATTTTGACGAAACTCTAAAAATTGCTGTATGTAATTCAAATAGCCATTTTGGAAAAACGGTAGGAATTTCCGATGAAACGAAGGCGAAAATGGCTTCTGGATATCGAAATCTACAAGAAAATGTCTTCAACTAATTTTCGGATGTATTTGAAAAATGGTCGAAAATGTCAAAAATGCCAAAATCAGTCTTATCTTACCAAATACTAGCCCCGCCCACCCACCCTGTATTTTCTTGGAAAATATGCCATCTGCCAAAATCATTCTCATCATAGCAAGTACTAGCCCCCCCACCCGCCCTCTATTTTCTTGGAAGATATGTCATTTGACAAAATCACCCTTGTCTTAGCAAATACTAGCACCTCCCACCCACCCTCTTCTCATTCTAACTACTAATTTTGTTTCTGTGCACTATAAGATCATTCATTTCATTCGGTTCGCATAAAATCAGTCACTGAAAATGAGACCGGGTGGGTGGGGAGGGCTAATTATGTTCTTCTGTCGAGTGGGAGTGGAAACTAATAATGCAATAATGGAACAAAAATTAATAATAATTTCCTTTTTATATACAAAATTTTTATAAAGAGCTATTGTGACGAAACTCAAAAAGTTGCTGTATTTCAATTAGCGATTTTAGAAAAACGATAGAAATTCCCGAGAAACGAAGGCGAGAATGACGAAATCTACAAGAAAATGTCGTCAACTAATTTCGGATAGTCGGAAAATGGTTAAAAATGCCAAAATTAGTCTTATCTTATCAAATATTAGCCCCGCCCACCCGCCTTCTATTTTCTTAGAGAGTATGTCATTTGCCAAAATCAGTCTTATCTTACCAAGTACTGGCCCCGCCCACCCCCTCTCTTCTCATTTTAACGACTAATTTTATTTCTGTTCAGTATAAGACAAAATCGGATAAAATAATTCACTGAAAAGGAGATAGGGTGGGTGGGCGGGGCTAATTATGGTCTTCTGTTGAGTGCGAATGGAAACTAATTATATAATCTAGGATGTGAAAAAGTAAAAAAAAGCGCTAATTGTAACTTTTTTTGTTAAAATCAGGCTTAGCTTAGGAAGTACTAGCCCCAACCACCCGCCCTCCATTTTCTTGGAAAATATGTCATTTGCCAAAATCGTTATTATCTTAGCAAGTACTAGCCCCGCCCACCCGCCCTCTATTTTCTTGGAAGGAATGTGATTTGCCAAAATCAGTTTTATCTTAGCAAGTACTAGCACCTCCTAACCACCCTGTTCTGATTCTAACTACTTATTTTGTTTCTATTCAGTAGAAGATTATTCATTTTATTCAGTTCGTATAAAATTAATCACTGAAAAGGAGACAGGGTGGGTGGGCGGGGCTAATTATGTTCTTCTGTTGAGTGCGAATGGAAACTAATTATATAATCTAGGATGTGAACAAGTAAAAAAAAGCGCTAATTGTAACTTTTTTTGTTAAAATCAGGCTTAGCTTAGAAAGTACTAGCCCCAACCACCCTTCTCCATTTTCTTGGAAAATATGTCATTTGCCAAAATCGTTATTATCTTAAGGGTTTGTATTGTGCCTTTGTTTCTTAATATATGTACGTCGTTTTCTTTTCACGACAAGAAACTGAAAACACTTTCGTTATTTTTCTACGAGAAATTACCAACTGTAAAAAAGGAAGCCAAAAGATAATCCCCTCCCATCCGTCTCGATCTCAATCGTGATGAATTTTTCCTTCGTTGTCAGACCGAGGGGCGCAGCGTAATTGCAAAATCCATATTTGTCTACAAAAATTTACCATGGTTTTATATTTCCTATTGTGAAAAAATGACTACGTATCTTTGAAAAGTGGCAAAATATAAGCCCCACCCACCCGCCCCATCACTATTCTGATGAATTTTTTTATTCGGGGTCACCCGGACGGGGAAAATTTAATTGCAGTTTTTCTCAATTTTCCGTTGAGTTTCTTCAGTTTTGAATTTTGATTTTTTTATTTATTCGATTTTACAAATTTTTGCCTTTTCAGTTTTAAATTTTTCGATTTAAATTTCCTCCAGTTTTCAATTTTTTAATTTTTCAGCTTTTAGATTTTCAATTTTTAATTTGCAATTTTTCTAGTTTTTATTTTGAATATGTAATAATAATTTTTACAGTTTTTTAGTTTTTCAATTTTACAATTTTAGAATTTTTCCATTTTTCAATTACTGGATTTAACTGTTTCATTTACTCGACTTTCCAACTTTTCCACTTTTTAATTTTTCAATTTTTCGATTCATTAATTTTTTTTTTCGATTTTTAGGTTTTCGATTTTTTCTTTCTTCAGTTCTTCGTTTTGTAATTTTCACAAAATCGCAAAAAGCTGAAAACTCGAACTTCGATTTGTGCTTTTTAAAATTTGCAAATTTCGAGCATTTAATAGATTCTAGTTTTCTAGATTCTCCACAAATCTGAGATGTCTCTGTTCCAAATTTTCAATAGACTCTATATTTTCTGATTTTCTACAATTTAGAATTTTAGAACAATTTTTAAAGGTCATTCTGATGCTAAGATTGTATAATTGACAAATTATCAAATTCAAAATTTTCAAAAATAGTGAAATAAAAAACTCAGCACAATTTAAAAAAAAATAGAAGATATCAAACATTCAATAGATTCTAGTTTTCTAGATTCTCCATAAATCTGCGATGTCTGTTCCAAATTGTCAATAGACAATATTTTCAGATTTTCCAGAATCTAGAATTTTAGAACAATTTTTAAAGATCCTTCTGTTGCTAAGATTTTATAATTGACAAACTATCAAATCGAGAATATTCAAAAACAGTAAAATAAAAAATTCAGCACAATTTAAAAAAAAATAGAAGATATCAAACATTCAATAGATTCTATTTTTATAGATTCTCCATAAATCTGCGATGTCTGTTCCAAATTGTCAATAGACAATATTTTCAGATTTTCCAGAATCTAGAATTTTAGAACAAATTTTAAAGATCCTTCTGTTGCTAAGATTTTATAATTGACAAATTATCAAATCGAGAATTTTCAAAAATAATAAAGTAAAAATTCAACATAATTTAAAAGAAAATAGAAGATATCAAACATTCAATAGCTTCTAGTTTTCTAGATTCTCCCTAAATCTGAGATGTATCTATTCCAAATTTTCAATAGACTCTATATTTTCTGATTTTCTACAATTTAGAATTTTAGAACAATTTTTAAAGATCATTCTGATGCTAAGAGTGTATAATTGACAAATTATCAAATTCAGAATTTTCAAAAATAGTAAAATAAAAAACTCAGCACAATTTAAAAAAAAAATAGAAGATATCAAACATTCAAGAGATTCTAATATCCGTTCGCAAAACTCCCGCACTGTCAGTGTCAGATTTGGAAAAAATGACCTGAGTGTACTCAGTGGTGAGATGCGAAAAACCTGTACAATAGGTTGCAAAATTGCAATCTAGTGACAAATTAGTAACTAAAAATAACTTGTCAAATAAAAATGTCAAAAACAATTTAACTGAAGATTTTTATCAATTCAAGTAAAGAAAGAGTATGACACACGAACGACAACGAAAGCTTTTTTTGAATAATATATATTTTTGACCTTACTGTCCATTTCTACGCTTCTGGTGCTACAATTTGTTTGAATTACTGACAAGTTCTTTAAACACATTGAACACTTCAGCAAATCAAAAAGGTAAAATAGTTAATAAACATTTGATTTTTCATTCATTAATTTTGAAAATTTGAAATTCAAGGCGGTAATCATATAAACTTAAAAATCTTTTAGAGGAATATTTCTCATACCAACAGAATGTCATTCTGACAGTGCGGGAGTTTTGCGAACGGATATTACTTTTCTAGATTCTCCATAAATCTGCGATGTCTGTTCCAAATTGTCAATAGACAATATTTTCAGATTTTCCAGAATCTAGAATGTTAGAACAATTTTTAAAGATCCTTCTGTTGCTAAGATTTTATAATTGACAAATTATCAAATCGAGAATATTCAAAAATAGTAAAATAAAAAATTCAGCACAATTTAAAAAAAAATAGAAGATATCAAACATTCAAAAGAATCTATTTTCTAGATTCTCCACAAATCTGCGATGTCTGTTTCAAATTGTCAATAGACTATATTTTCAGATTTTCCAGAATCTAGAATTTTAAAACAATTTTTAAGGATTTAAGGATGTTACGTTGCTGGGACGAATCGAAGATTTGGTACGTCTTTATAATAATGCAAGTGTGGTACTTTAACGAAACGAGTTACAGTCAGGGGACAATTATGATTCTTTGACGCAAGTCGAGTGGTACCGCTGGAACTTAAAAAACAAAAGAACTTACTTGTTGTTTCTGGTAAACACGACGCGGAAATTCAAGATCAAGTACACCGAAAACATTTCGCTCAATTATCAGCTGGGACTACAGGTACGACTTGGAGAGGTGGAAGGTACTAACTAAATCGGGAATTTCAGGTTGTCAAGGCCATGTTTCCCGCCACGTCGGTCATTTATAACCTACAACATAAGTAGATATAACTATTTATGTATATAACGACGTTGTTTCTAGACCGCTTAAACTAACGTAAACTTATAGGCCACCAACAAAACACGCTTCACAATTGTTTTTGAGGTTATGTCTTCAAACATTTTTAGTAATGAACCTAGGACATCAAAGGATTAAAAAGTAACCAAAAGCTGTATATTTTCATTAAAAAATCTCAATAAATATAAACCATGAACAAAAATAAAAACTAACCTAATCTATGAGAACATATTCTTCATCTGACGTTTCACCCTTCACTTCAAACACTGACTCCGAATTCTCCGTGCTTGTCGCATTTTCTACCTGATTGTCTTTCGTGTTCATGTTCCCACCCCGTGAGGCTTGTTCACACCCGGAATCACTATCAGACGACGAAAACCTGGCAGAAAAATCCGGATATCTTTTATCGTCTTGGGTTGGTTTCTTCTTCCTGCTCGTGTTACTGCGTTTCACCACTTTGTTAAAACCCAAACGAAATTTGTCTATCACATCCGGGTCTAATTTATATCGGGGGTAATGCAACTCATAGATTATCCTTTTCCTGAAGTGTTGCTTGAGTGATTGCCACGACCTTTCCACCACTTTCAGTTTTTCCATGTCTTTCCAGATCTTGTCACCTTTGACTAGATCAAAAGCTTCGTGCTGCACAATATAATCCACAATTTTTTTCTGTTCGTCTGGAGTGTATAAAGGGTTCGCCATTTTTAAATACGAGACAAGCTAGGGGGCTAAATTTCCACTAATCACACCGTCAATTAACCACAATACTTACTTTTACGTTGTTTTATTATTCGAACTTCCAAAAAACAAAAACAAACTGACATTTAAAACATGGTATGCAACCCACAGTACACGTCACCGTAGTACCAATTCTGCCACCCTCCTTGAAAAAATCCCCAAAATTAATCTGTCAAAGAAACGTCAAATTGCAGTCTCATGGCAAAAAACAGTAAAAATTCAACGAACTAACACTTTCTGGAGCCCGCAGCGACAATGGCGTTATATAAACAAGCCCTGAGACACATCTCCACCACTAAAATCTCGTAAGCTTTGATTTTTCGGTCGGGGTAAACGTAACCTCAAAATTGTAGAGTATGGAGCCCCGCGCGCAATTTCGCCTCCCGAGGCAACAAAAAGGTGACGAACATGCCCCCAATGGACAAACCGGTGCAAAATCTACCCACACCCATATTCGCGACGCTGAAAAAGGAACACCAAACCACCCAAGTGACGACGCTTTCTAACGGCTTGAGAGTCGCTTCGGAGGACCGCTTTGGGGAGTTTTGCACAGTTGGAGGTAACGAAAATAAATTAGCCACAACTTGGTTACAAATTTGATTTTAGTGGTCATCGATAGTGGCTCTCGGTATGAGGTGGCCTACCCCAGCGGGGTGTCTCACTTTTTGGAAAAACTCGCCTTCAATGTATGCACAATTAATTATTTAACTCTTGTTACAAGGTTTAGTTTTAGTCAACCATGGCCTATCCCGACAAGGACGAAATCCTCAACCGACTTGAGAAACACGGGGGCATTTGCGACAGTCAAGCGTCTCGAGACACTTTCATTTACGCCGCGTCCGCCTACACTAGTGGCTTGGACGACGTGATCCACCTCCTCGCAGAAGCCACCCTGCGCCCCCAAATCACTGGCGACGAAATCGACGCCGCCCGCCAAGCCATCAGTTTCGAACTCGAGACTCTCAACATGCGCCCCGAGCAAGAAACCCTCCTCATGGACATGATCCACGCCGTACGTTGACATTTAGCCGTCGCCCCCACATCATCACAATTCGTTTTCAGGCCGCCTACCGCGACAACACCCTAGGCCTTCCCAAACTCTGCCCCAAGAAAAACCTCGGCCGCATCGACCGCGAGCTGCTCTTCACCTACCTGAGCCAGCACTACGCCCCAAACAGGATGGTGGTGGCGGGCGTAGGGGTGGACCACAACAAGTTGTGCGAGGTGGTCCAGAAATATTTCGTCGACAAAAGACCCATCTGGGAGACCGAGAGGGGGCTGTTCTCCCCCATTAAAAACATTTCGCTTGATGACAGTATAGCGCAGTACACGGGGGGGATAGCGCAGGAGGAGTGCGATATTCCGCAGTTCGCGTCAGCGGGGCTGCCGGTTTTGAGTCACGTGGTGATCGGGCTCGAGGGGTGCTCGCACCAGGACCCCGATTTTATTGCAACGTGCGTGCTCAACATGATGCTGGGGGGCGGGGGGTCGTTCAGCGCAGGGGGGCCCGGGAAGGGGATGTACACGAGGCTCTACACCAATGTCCTGAACAGGTAAAGGGGGTTCCATTCATGGTTTACTTTGTTTTTTGGCTCTTTTTGTGAACATAACCTCACATTTGGAGAGGTGATTTGACATGCTTTGATGAAAATCCACCAGGAAATAGTCCCAAAAAGGGTAGAAGGGGGTCTTGGTAACAAATTTTACCAATTCGGGCCAAATTTTTCGACGTAACCTCGAAGTTTAGCTACAGAAACAGAATTTTCATGAAAGTATAAAAAGGGGGCTAATTTGGGCATAATAGAGAGGGAATTGCGTCTCTTTCTAGTCGCATGTGGCTACTAATCTGTGAATGTGATTAAATGGGGCGTTTTGACTAATTTTGTGAACATAACCTCACAACCTTCGACATAACCTCAAAGTTTAGCTACAGAAATGGAATTTTCATACAAGTATGAAAAGTGGGCTAATTCGGGCATAATAGAGAGGAAATTGCGTCTCTTCCTAGTCAAATCTGGCGACTAATGTGTGAATATAACATAACATAACCTCTCATGGGGGGGGGTATTTTTTTACAAGCTTTGATGGAAATTCACCACTAAACCAGAAAACATAGAGAAGCGTCATAGTTTAAATTAAATGACGGTTGAGGACTCCTTGACTTATGTTGGCAACAGTGTTTGTTTCTAACTAGGAATAAAATTAACTAAAAAAAATGTTTAACGACGCGTTTTACGGTCGACAAATTGACACTAGATTTACCAGAATATTACAAGCTGTTGACAGTTTCCTTCACTTTAATTCAGGTCACACGAATTACAGTTCGTCGTCTGAGAACTTGTTTGATCTATAGACCAGAGCGCACTCAGGCCAATGTCGACTCTAAGCGTTCGGAAACGATTTGATTTATAAGTCATGATCCGTGATCTGGTACACATTCTAACCGGTTTCGACCATAATTTCTTGCTGTTTCGACTTTCGAATTCTCAGTTTTTCGAAATTTTATTTTGGGGACTTTTCAGTTTACTCCTATTCAATTTTTGGATTTTACAATCTCTCAATTTTTCAATTTCTCGGTTTTCAGTTTTTCTTTTCAATTTTACGATTTTTAAATATTTCGATTTTTCAATTTTTGACTTTTATAAACTCTTTATTTGTCGATTTTTCAATTAATTGATTTTTCAGGTTTTTTGGTTTTTCAATTTTTCTATTTTTTCAGGTTTCGATTTTTCAACTTCACTTTTTTGATTTTCCGATTTCTCAATTTTTCAATTTTTTAGTTTCTCAGTTTTTGGACATTTCAGTTTTGGGATTTTTCAGTTCACTTGTTATTCAATTTTTCGATCTTACGATTTTGCAGGTTTTTGATTTTTCAATTTTTCGATTTTTTTAAGGTTTCGATATTTCGGCTTCACTTTTTTGATTTTTCGATTTCTCAATTTTTCGATTTTTTAGATTCTGTTTTTGGATATTTCAGTTTTGGGATTTTTCAGTTTTTCGATTCGTCAGTTTTTCTTTCATTTTTCAGTTTTGGGATTTTTCAATATTTCTGTTCTTCGACTTTTCCATTTTTGTCCTCTGGATTTTTCGATGTGTCGACTTTTACTTTTTCGATTTTTTAAATTTTAGATTTCTCAATTTTTTGGTATTTTAATTTTTCAATATTTAAAATTTTAGATTTTTCGATATCTCGATTTTTCATTTCACTTCTTCCATATTTCAATTTTTCAAATGTTTCGATTTCTTAATCTTTCGATTTTTCGACTTTCCGGTTTTGGATTTTCTGTTTTTCAATTGTCTTTTTTTCAATTTTTCGATCTTGAAATTTTAAAATTTTCAGTTTCTTGATATTTTAATTTTTCAATATTTAAAATTCTAGATTTTTCGATTTCTCGATTTTTTATTTCAGTTCTTCGATCCGTTTTTCATGTTTTCGAATTTTTCAAATGTTTTGACTTCTTAATCTATCGATTTTCGACTTCCCGGTTTTTTCTGTTTTTCAATTGTCGTTTTTTCAAATTTTCGATTTTTCAATTTTTCAAATTTGACATTTATAAACTGTCAATTTTTCGATCTTTCAGTTAATCAATGTTTTGATTTTCCCATTTCTTTCGAGGGTTTCGATATTCCTGTTCTTCAATTCTTTAATTTTTCTATTTTTCATTTTTTAGTTTTTTTAAAGTTTCCATTTTTCGACTTCACTTTTTGGATTTTTCGATTGTTCAATTTTTCGAGTTTTTAGGTTCTCAGTTTTTGGATATTTCAGTTTCCGGATTTTTCAGGTTTTCCATTTTTCAGTTGCTCTTTCATTTTTCAGTTTTTCGATATCTGAGTTTTGGGATTTTTCAATTTTTCGATTCTTCGACTTTTCGATTTTTGACTCCTGGATTTTTCGATTTCTCGATTTTTCAGTTCAGTTCTTCGATTTTTGAATTTTTCAAGTTTTCGAATTTTGCAAATGTTTCGATTTCTTAACCTTTTGATTTTTCGACTTCCCGATTTTAGATTGTATGTTTTTCAGTTGTCATTTTGTCAAATTTTCGATTTTTTAATTTTTCAAATTTGACTTTCATAAACTCTCAATTTTTCGATTTTTCAATTAATCGATAGTTTGATTTTCCCATTTCTTGACCTTCGAGTGTTTCGATTTTCCTGTTCTTCAGTTCTTTAATTTTTTGATTTTTCAGGTTTTTGATTTTTCAATTTTTCGATTTACTTTTCGACTTCACTCTTTTGGTTTTTCGATTTTTCAGTTTTTAGATATTTCAGTTTTAGGATTTTTCAGTATATCAATTCTTCGGCTTTTTTATTTTTGACTTCTGGATTTTTCGATGTGTCTACTTTATTACTTTTTCGATTTTTCAATTTTTGGATTTTTTAATGTTAGATTTTTCAATCTTTTGATATTTTAATTTTTCAATGTTTCTTAATCTTTCGATTTGTTAATTTTTCATTCCCGATTTATCGAGATTTGATTGTTCAGGTTTTCGATTTATCAGTTTTTCAATTTTTTATTTTGGCCTATTTCGGTTTCTCAGTTTTTCCAGTTTTTCATTTTTCCGCTTTTCCAATTTTTCAACTTTTAACTTTTTGTTTGTCAATTTCTCTATTTTTCGATTTTTCGATTTCATCACTTTTCGATTTCTCGTTCTTTTGATCTTTCAATCGCTCAATTTTTCCAATTTTTAAGTTTTTTGATATCTTGATTTATCGAGATTTGGATTTTTCGATATTTTGATTGTCAATTGCTCAATTTATAAATTGTTCAATTTTTAACTTTCCGATTTTATTTCGGTTTCTCAGTTGTTCGACTTTTTGACTCCACGATTTCTTGATCTTTTGATTTTTCGATTTCTCGGTTTTTCGATTTTCCAGTTTTTCGATGTTTCGATTTTTTAGTTATCCGATTTTTTAAATTTGGGAGTTTCGATTTTTCGTTATTCGGTTTTTTAAATTTTAGATTTTTGAATTTTACATTTTTTCGATTTTCAGATGTTTCATTTTTCGATTTTTAGTTATTCGATATTTCGATTATTAGATTTCTCGATTTCTCGATTATTTTAATTTTTCATTTTTTTTTCTTACTGATAATATCAGAGAGTGTATCCAAAACAACCACAAAAATTGTCAGTAAAAACATTTAAAAATTCATACAAAATAGAACACAGTGTTTCCAAAACATTTTCTCGAAAAAATCCATTGGGTTATTACGGTTTAAAAAATATTCTTAGTTTAAGACGTTTTGCTAGTATAAAACACAAATAAAGAATTAATTCTTAGTTAAACAAAATATGTAAAATCATCTAAATACGTATCAAAAATACTCATTTAGTCGTTATAAAAACCGACCAAACAACTATTTCCCGCAGAAATTATAGTCCAAACCAACCAAATCGCTTCTGAACGCTTACTGCCCATTCACAATGGACATAAGACATAAGAACGAGCGCATAACATAATTTACGTTTTTGGTTTGTGTCTGGCTTATGCTTATTTACGTTCACAGTGGACAGATTGAACTCTGTAAGAATTGTTAAACTGCGCAAACGCAGAACGGAATAACTCCCCGCTAAACATAGAAACGGCTAACTTCAAACTGAGTCAATCAAAATATCTAACCTACAATTTCATACGATATTCGAACTTGACAACTCGCAGTACAGAACAGACTCGCAGTGTGAAGCTTTGATTATAATTTATATAATATAATCAAAGGTGTGAAGTGCCAAGTGCCAACTGTCAAAGGGAATTCAACAGCAGCATTCAAAAGTCCCTAGATTTTAACATAATTTTGACATAATTCGTGCACAAAGTTGAACTTGTTTCAACTTTGTGTACGCACACAAGGATTACATAAAACGTTCATAAGCATAAGAATTACGTTCGTCCACTGTGAACAGGGGTACACGTTTTCCATCGTTTCAACTTTATGTATTTATGTAAGCTTTATGTACTTGTTATGCCTTATGTCCATTGTGAATGGGCAGTTAGAGTCGACATTGGCTTGAGCGCGCTCTGGTCTGTAGATCAAACAAGTTCTCAGGCGACGAGTTGTAGTGAAACAAGTTTTTTATTGGCATCGACTATTTAAATTTGGCGCTTGTCTTTGGCGGTTGAGGACTCCAATGTCAATAAGGGTGGTTTTGCAAAATCAGCATGTCGCATCTATATTAATCTATGACTAAACCATCCGAAAAAAGTTTGAAGGAGGGCTCATCGTCACAAATTTTACCAATTCGGGCCAAATATTTCGACATAACCTCAAAGTTTAGCTACAGGAATGGAATTTTCATAAAAGTATGAAAAGGGGGATAATTCGGGCGTAATAGAGAGGAAATTTCGCCACTTTCTAGTCAAATGTGGCGACTAATATGTGAATTTGATTACATGGGGCTTTTTAACTCATTTTGAGAACATATCCCTCACATTTAGGGGGGCTATTTTTCACAAGCTTTGATGAAAATCCACCACTAAATCGTTCCAAAGAAGACAAAAGGGGGCCTCATAGTAGCAGATTTTAACAAGTCGGGTCAAATTTTTCGACATAACCTCAAAGTTTAGCTACAGAAACAGAATTTTCATGAAAGCATGAAAAGGGGGCTAATTTGGGCGTAATAGAGAGGAAATTGCGTCTCTTTCTAGCCGCTTGTGGCTACTAATCTGTGAATATGAGTAAATGGGGCGTTTTGACTAATTTTGTGAACATAACCTCACAACCTTCGACATAACCTCAAAGTTTAGCTACAGAAATGGAATTTTCATACAAGTATGAAAAGGGGGCTAATTCGGGCATACTAGAGAGGCAATTGCGTATCTTCCTAGTCAAATCTGGCGACTAATGTGTGAATATCACAAAATGGGGCTTTTTGATCCATTTTCTGAACATAACCTCACATTTAGGGGGGGTTATTTTTTTACAAGTTTTGATGGAAATTCACCACTAAGCCGTCCGAAAAAAGTATGAAGGGGGCCTCATAGTCACAAATATAACAAATTCGGGCCAAATATTTTGACATAACCTCAAAGTTTAGCTACAGAAATGGAATTTTCATAAAAGTATGAAAAAGGGGATAATTCGGGCGTAATAGAAAGGAAATTTCGTCTCTTTTTAGTCAAATGTGCCGACTAATTTATGAATTTGATTACATGAGGCTTTTTAACTCATTTTGAGAACATAATCCCCACATTTAGGGGGGTTATTTTTCACAAGCTTTGATGAAAATCCACCACTAAATCGTCTCAAAGAAGACAAAAGGAGACCTCATAGCAACAGATTTTAACAATTCGGGCCAAATATTTCGGCACAACCTCAAATATTTAGAGAAGATTTTCCAGAATCAGAATTTTCATAGAAGTATGAAAAAGGGGCCAAATAAAAGAGTGTAAATGTGATTAAATATTAAAAATACACTCATAAGTCGTCCAAAAAACACCGGTCTCAGTAACAAATTTTACGAATTCGAGCCAACGTGTCAACATAACCTCAAATATGAAAAAATTCGGCAGAATTTTCACAAAAACGCCAAAAAATCAAGGTCGTCAAACTTTCAGGTATCACTGGATGTACAGCGCCACTTCCTACACCCACTCGTACGCCGACAGCGGCATCCTGTGCATCCACGCGAGTGCGCCCCCCAACCACGTCAAAGAAATGGTAGAAGTGATAGTTAAGGAAATGGTCAACATGGCCGGGACCGTAAACGCCCAAGAACTGAGAGTACGAACCCCAATATACCCATGAACATTAACCCATTTTTGTAATTCCAGCGAGCCAAAACCCAACTACAGTCCATGCTACTCATGAACTTGGAGTCGCGCCCCATCATTTTCGAAGACATCGGACGCCAAGTCCTGGCGACGGGGCACCGGAAAAGGCCGCAGCACTTCATCGACGAAATCGAAAAAATCGGCCGGGACGAAATCGTGGCGGTGGCTAAAAGACTGCTGAGTTCGCAGCCCTCGGTGGCGGCGCGCGGAGACTTAAGACGCATGCCGGCGCTGGAGTACGTCCAAGCTGGCTTGGTAGACAGAGACGGGAAGATGCCCAGCGGGAGGAAGCTGTCTTTGTTCCGATAAGTTCACTCATTAAATTATTGACGATGTATATATTTCAATTTAGATATTTGTTGTTGTTGTGTTTGTAGTGACGAAAAACCATTTGGTTTGAAAAATGTTGACAGTCAAATAATTCGCAGTGATATTTTTTTGTTAAAAATCGAGTATATGTTACAGTCGGGGTATTTAAAATACAAACACAAAAACAACTAAAATGTCATAGTTAGGGTTTTTTTAAATACTTATCTACATTTTTAGTTGAAAATTTACTTATACTTTAAAAAAACTTCTCCTTGACGAAATCTGCGACGCAATTGAAGGAAAGAACTTCCTCTTTCAATCGTCTCAGATTCGTCAGGTAATTTTGGTGCACTTTACTTTTGGTATTTTTGTAACGTAAATCCGGTATTTTGTTCAAAATGTAATGCAACCACAGGACGTTTGGTGTGGGGTTCGAAATGTTTCCACTCGTTTCTGTCAAAACCAAAAATGAACAAATGCTTGTAAACTAGTCGTACGACACTTACCGTTACTTTTTTGCATCAACCAGTAAATTTCAAACTGATAGTCCCCTTTAGCTACAAAAAGGTCACTATCCAAACTTAAGTCATTAAAAACAACCACCTCATCAAATTCGATTCTTGAAAGGGTGAAATCAATGATCGCAATCTCCACCCCCGCCGTCTCCACTTGGATTTCGCACCCATCTATGCGAAACCTCAACGATTTGCTTTTATCGACGGTCGTTAGCAAAACGTTGCCCCAGTGGAGATCGCGATATTCGAAATTAAGTTTATATCGAATGTGTACTAATTGTGAGTGATATAATAACTACAAGTTTGTCATTAAATACTTAAATTGAACCGAGTTTCTTTTCACTTTTAAATCTAGAATACGGTTTTTTTTCTCAGCAAGGCTTTCAGAATCGAAACAATCACTGCAAGGTAAGTATTTTAAAATTTGCAACGCTGAAGAATTTCGAATATCGGAATTTTCCGAGATCGGAGACAAAAAAAAAGGTAAGTATTTCTAGTAAATGTTCTTAAAATTAGTTTTTCGAAGACGCAACACTTTCTATTCTTTGGTTTTTCAAAGATTTTTAGCCGCTCTTCATTTTTTTTTTAATTTTTAATTTGTTAAATTTAAAATATTGGTGGATATTTCTAATGAATCCTTTTAAAGAAATCTAATAAGTCGTTTATATTCGAATTTTCAAAAAACTCTTTCCGATATTTCAAAGTTGGATTGAAGAGTCTATAATTAAATCTTGAAATTAATAAAACATTGCAAATTGTTTTGACAAAAAAAAACCATTATTAGTTTTTTAATCTAGTAATTTAAAAATTTCCGAGTTTTGGAAAAATTTAAAACCTGATATTTCTACTAACGGACCTTTAAAAAAATGTTGCTGATATTGAAGGTTTTTATGTTTGTAATTTTCGCTTTTCAAAAAACCTTTGGTAAAATTCTGACTTTAATTTTACATTGATATTTTACAAGTTTACAAATTCGTTTCTTTTTTGATCTTTCAGGTTTTATATTTTTCAGTTTTTGGAATTTTACTGTTTCAATATTGCGATTTTACAATTTCTGCCTTTTATCAATTTTTCAATTTCACAATTTTGATAGTAAAATTGAAGATTTTTTCAACTTCTCCATTTTTCGATTTTACAATTTTTTGATTTTGCAATGTAACCACTTCATTGTTTCAATTTTATATTTTCCGCACGTTATAAATTTTTTATTTTGTGATGTTTTATTTTTTGAATTTAATTTTTCAGTTTTTTGATTTTTTAATTTCTCAATGTTTCGAAGACGCAACACTTTCTATTCTTTGGTTTTCAAAGATTTTTAGCCGCTTTTCATTTTTTTTTTTAATTTTTAATTTGTTAAATTTAAAATTTTGGTGGGAATTTCTACTGAATCCTTTTAAAGAAATCTAATAAGTCGTTTATATTCGAATTTTCAAAAAACTCTTTCCGATATTTCAAAGTTGGATTGAAGTCGAGTCTATACCTAAATCTTGAAATTAATAAAACATTGCAAATTGTTTTGACAAAAAAAAAACATTATTAGTTTTTTAATCTTGTAATTTAAAAATTTCCGAGTTTTGGAAAAATTTAAAACCTGATATTTCTACTAACGGACCTTTAAAAAAATATTGCTGATATTGAAGGTTTTTATGTTGGTAATTTTCGCTTTTCAAAGAACCTTTGGTAAAATTCTGACTTTAATTTTACATTGATATTCTACAAGTTTACAAATTCGTTTCTTTTTTGATCTTCCAGGTTTTATATTTTTCAGTTTTTGGAATTTTACTGTTTCAATATTGCGATTTTACAATTTCTGCCTTTTATCAATTTTTCAATTTCACAACTTTTTGATAGTAAAATTGAAGATTTTTTCAACTTCTCCATTTTTCGATTTTACAATTTTTTGATTTTGCAATGTAACCACTTCAATGTTTCAGTTTTATATTTTCCGCACGTTATCAATTTTTTATTTTGTGATGTTTTATTTTTTGAATTTAATTTTTCAGTTTTTTGATTTTTTAATTTCTCAATGTTTCGAAGACGCAACACTTTCTATTCTTTGGTTTTCAAAGATTTTTAGCCGCTCTTTATTTTTTTTAATTTTTAATTTGTTAAATTTAAAATTTTGGTGGGAATTTCTACTGAATCCTTTTAAAGAAATCTAATAAGTCGTTTATATTAAAATTTTCAAAAAACTGTCTTCGATATTTCAAAGTTGGATTGAAGTCGAGTCTAGGTATACCTAAATCTTGAAATTAATAAAACATTGCAAATTGTTTTGGCAAAAAAAAAACATTATTAGTTTTTTAATCTTGTAATTTAAAAATTTCCGAGTTTTGGAAAAATGTAAAACCTGATATTTCTACTAATGGACCTTTAAAAAAATATTGCTGATATTGAAGGTTTTTGTTTGTAATTTTCGCTTTTCAAAGAACCTTTGGTAAAATTCTGACTTTAATTTTATATTGATATTCTACAAGTTTACAAATTCATTTCTTTTTTGATCTTCCAGGTTTTATATTTCTCAGTTTTTGGAATTTTACTGTTTCAATATTGCGATTTTACAATTTCTGCCTTTTATCAATTTTTCAATTTCACAACTTTTTGATAGTAAAATTGAAGATTTTTTCAACTTCTCCATTTTTCGATTTTACAATTTTTTGATTTTGCAATGTAACCACTTCAATGTTTCAATTTTATATTTTCCGCACGTTATCAATTTTTTATTTTGTGATGTTTTATTTTTTGAATTTAATTTTTCAGTTTTTTGATTTTTTAATTTCTCAATGTTTCGAAGACGCAACACTTTCTATTCTTTGGTTTTCAAAGATTTTTAGCCGCTCTTCATTTTTTTTCAATTTTTAATTTGTTAAATTTAAAATATTGATGGATATTTCTACTGAATCCTTTTAAAGAAATCTAATAAGTCGTTTATATTCGAATTTTCAAAAAACTTTCCGATATTTCAAAGTTGGATTGAAGTCGAGTCTATACCTAAATCTTGAAATTAATAAAACATTGCAAATTGTTTTGACAAAAGAAAAACATTATTAGTTTTTTAATCTTGTAATTTAAAAATTTCCGAGTTTTGGAAAAATTTAAAACCTGATATTTCTACTAACGGACCTTTAAAAAAATATTGCTGATATGGAAGGTTTTTATGTTTGTAATTTTCGCTTTTCAAAGAACTTTTGGTAAAATTCTGACTTTAATTTTACATTGATATTCTACAAGTTTACAAATTCGTTTCTTTTTTGATCTTTCAGGTTTTATATTTTTCAGTTTTTGGAATTTTACTGGTTCAATATTGCGATTTTACAATTTCTGCCTTTTATCAATTTTTCAATTTCACAACTTTTTGATGGTAATATTGAAGATTTTTTCAACTTCTCCATTTTTCAATTTTACAATTTGTTGATTTTGTAATGTAACCACTTCAATGTTTCAATTTTATATTTTCCGCACGTTATCAATTTTTTATTTTGTGATGTTTTATTTTTTGAATTTAATTTTTCAGTTTTTTGATTTTTTAATTTCTCAGTGTTTCGAAGACGCAACACTTTCTATTCTTTGGTTTTCAAAGATTTTTTGCCGCTCTTCATTTTTTTTTAATTTTTAATTTGTTAAATTTAAAATATTGGTGGGAATTTCTACTGAATCATTTTAAAGAAATCTAATAAGTCGTTTATATTCGAATTTTCAAAAAACTCTTTCCGATATTTCAAAGGTGGATTGAAGTCGAGTCTATACCTAAATCTTGAAATTAATAAAACATTGCAAATTGTTTTGACAAAAAAAAAACATTATTAGTTTTTTAATCTAGTAATTTAAAACTTTCCGATATTTCAAAGTTGGATTGAAGTCGAATCTATACCTAAATCTTGAATAATTTCAAGATTTAGGTATAGATTCGACTTCAATCCAACTTTTTTTATTAATATAAAACATTGCAAATTTTGACAAAAAAAAACATTATTGGTTTTTTAATCTTGTAATTTAAAAATTTCCGAGTTTTGGAAAAATTTAAAACCTGATATTTCTACTAACGGACCTTTAAAAAAATATTGCTGATATTGAAGGTTTTTATGTTTGTAATTTTCGATTTTCAAAGAACCTTTGGTAAAATTCGACTTTAATTTTACATTGATATTCTACAAGTTTACAAATTCGTTTCTTTTTTGATCTTTCAGGTTTTATATTTTTCAGTTTTTGGAATTTTACTGTTTCAAAATTGCGATTTTACAATTTCTGCCTTTTATCAATTTTTCAATTTCACAACTTTTTGATAGTAAAATTGAAGATTTTTTCAACTTCTCCATTTTTCGATTTTACAATTTTTTGATTTTGCAATGTAACCACTTCAATGTTTCAATTTTATATTTTCCGTACGTTATCAATTTTTTATTTTGTGATGTTTTATTTTTTGAATTTAATTTTTCAGTTTTTTGATTTTTTAATTTCTCAATGTTTCGAAGACGCAACAAGATTTTTAGCCGTTCTTCATTTTTTTTTATTTTTAATTTGTTAAATTTAAAATTTTGGTGGATATTTCTACTGAATCCTTTTAAAGAAATCTAATAAGTCGTTTATATTCGAATTTTCAAAAAACTCTTTCCGATATTTCAAAGTTGGATTGAAGTCGAGTCTAACCCTAAATCTTGAAATTAATAAAACATTGCAAATTGTTTTGACAAAAGAAAAACATTATTAGTTTTTTAATCTAGTAATTTAAAAATTTCCGAGTTTTGGAAAAATTTAAAACCTGATATTTCTACTAACGGACCTTTAAAAAAATATTGCTGATGTTGAAGGTTTTTATGTTTGTAATTTTCGCTTTTCAAAGAACCTTTGGTAAAATTCTGACTTTAATTTAACATTGACATTCTACAAGTTTACAAATTCGTTTCTTCTTTGATCTTTCAGGTTTTATATTTTTCAGTTTCTGGAATTTTACTGTTTCAATATTGCGATTTTACAATTTCTGCCTTTTATCAATTTTTCAATTTCACAACTTTTTATAGTAAAATTGAAAATTTTTTCAACTTCTCCATTTTTCGATTTTGCAATGTAACCACTTCAATGTTTCAATTTTATATTTTCCGCACGTTATCAATTTTTTATTTTGTGATGTTTTATTTTTTGAATTTAATTTTTCAGTTTTTTGATTTTTTAATTTCTCAATGTTTCGAAGACGCAACACTTTCTATTCATTGGTTTTCAAAGATTTTTAGCCGCTCTTCATTTTTTTTAATTTTTTAATTTGTTAAATTTAAAATTTTGGTGGGAATTGCTGCTGAATCCTTTTAAAGAAATCTAATAAGTCGTTTGTATTCGAATTTTCAAAAAACTCTTTCCGATATTTCAAAGTTGGATTGAAGTCGAGTCTAACCCTAAATCTTGAAATTAATAAAACATTGCAAATTGTTTTGACAAAAAAAAACATTATTAGTTTTTTAATCTTGTAATTTAAAAATTTCCGAGTTTTGGAAAAATTTAAAACCTGATATTTCTACTAACGGACCTTTAAAAAAAATATTGCTGATATTGAAGGTTTTTATATTTATAATTTTCGCTTTTCAAAGAACCTTTGGTAAAATTCTGGCTTTAATTTTAGATTGATATTCTACAAGTTTACAAATTCGTTTCTTTTTTGATCTTTCAGGTTTTATATTTTTCAGTTTTTGGAATTTTACTGTTTCAATATTGCGATTTTACAATTTCTGCCTTTTATCAATTTTTCAATTTCACAACTTTTTGATAGTAAAATTGAAGATTTTTTCAACTTCTCCATTTTTCAATTTTACAATTTGTTGATTTTGCAATGTAACCACTTCAATGTTTCAATTTTATATTTTCCGCACGTTATCAATGTTTTATTTTGTGATGTTTTATTTTTTGAATTTAATTTTTCAGTTTTTTGATTTTTTAATTTCTCAATGTTTCGAATCTCAATGTCCATTTTTCAATTTAACAAATTTTAGATTTAGTTTAGACTGAATTTATTGCCCAATAGTACAAAAAGTTGGCTGACAGAGTATATGACTTTTAGTTCATCAAACATGAAAGTTTTTCTCGAGGGTTTTAAAACTAGACTATTTTGGGCCAAGTTTTTCGACATAACCTCTAATATGTAACAGTTTAGCTACAGAAATGGAATTTTCATACAAGTATGAAAATGGGGGCTAATTCGCGCATACTAAAGAGAGGCAAATGCGTCTCTTCCTAGTCAAATCTGGCGAGTAATGTGTGAATATCACAAAATGGTGCTTTTTGATCCATTTTGTGAACATAACCTCACATTTAGGGGGGGTTATTTTTTTACAAGCTTTGATGGAAATTCACCAATAAGCCGTCCGAAAAAAGTATGAAGGGTGCCTCATAGTGACAAATTTAACAAATTCGGGCCAAATATTTCGACATAACCTCAACGTTTAGCTACAGAAATGGAATTTTCAAAGGGGGCTAATTCGGGCATAAAAAAGATGAAATTACGTCTCTTCCTAGTCAAATCTGGCGACTAATGTGTGAATATCACAAAATGGGGCTTTTTGATCCATTTTGTGGACATAACCTCACATTTAAGGGGGGTAGTGACGAAAAACCATTTGGTTAGAAGTGTTGACAGTCAAACAATTCGACGTTATATTTTTTATTAAAAATCAAGTGTATATTACAGTCGGGGAGTTTAAAATACTAACACAAAAACAACTAAAATATGACAGTTTGGGTTTTTCTTTAAATATTTATGTACATTACCAGTTGAAAATTTACTTACTTACACTCTAAAAAAATTTCTCCTTCACAAAGTCGGTAACGCAATTGTATGAAAGAACTTCTTCTTTCATTTGTCTCAAATGCGTGAGGTAAGTTTTGTGGACTTTACTTTTGGTGTTTTTGTAACGGAATGCTGGTATTTTATCCAAAATATAGTGCAACCAGAGGACGTTGGTGTATGGTTCAAAATGTTGCCACTCGTTTCTGTCAAAACCAAAAATCAGCAAATGCTTGTAAACTAGTCGTAAGACACTTACCCGTTACTTTTCTGCATCAACCTGTATATTTCAAACTGGTAGTCCCCTTTAGCTACAAAGAGGTCACTATCCAAACTTAAGTCATTAAAAATAACCACCTCATCAAATTCGATTCTTGAAAGGGTGAAATCAATGATCGCAATCTCCACCCCCGCCGTCTCCACTTCGATTTCGCACCCATCTAAGCGAAACCTCAACGTTTTGCTTTTATCGACGGTCGTTAGCAAAACGTTCCCCCAGTGGAGATCGCGATGTTCGAAGTGAAGCTCACTTTCGGCGACAGCCAAGGCACATGCAGTCTACAACGAAAATACAAAAATAAAATTGGTGTCACTTCCTACCAAACCAAGCCAACTCACTTGTTTGAACATGGCGTAAGCTTGCAACGCGTTGTTGAAAACGAAGCTCTCCAAATCACGGCCTCCGTTCGCCAGTTCGAGAACTATATACAGCTGGTCTGAAGAGAACATCTGGGGGCTGTCGTTCTCTGACCCTTTCGTTTCGTCGTAGAGCTGCCACAGGTCCACCAACCTGTCCGGGTAATTTCCCTGTGTGCACCGGACCTTCTGGACCTCGGAGAAACACGTTGTTGAGTTTTTCTTGTTACTCCTCAGGTTGCTCAGTTCCATTGCAATGACGATTTCTGAAAGTATTTCCTCGAATTTTTTCTGCCGTTCTCCGTTAACGATCAGGTCGCCCTCGATCGGGATGATTTTCATAACGGACGTGCCGCCGTCGGCGTTGCGGTAGAGGAAGACCTCCCCGTAGACGCCCTCGCCGATCTTGTGGCAGTTCTGAAGGGCGCTGAAAAATCGAAGAAAAAATGTTGCATGAATGTGCGGCTGCATTGTGACGCGTGGCCCCATCTACACGACAATAGCGCAAAATTGGCAAACATCCTGGTGTTTTCGCTTGTACAAATAAATATCCGACGAACGTGGAAAAATATTTGCATAAAACCTCGCTAGCAAACAAAGACGCTAATAACAAATCTAATAATAAACAAAATAAACACACCGATAACAGAGCTCAAGTGGATCAAAGTAAAAATTTTCAACCTCGGTGTGATAACCTCAGTTTCGCCATTAAAAAGATTTGCAATTAAGCACATTACAAAGGTGTTTGTTGATTTAAACGACGATAATTCGTGACACGTATGACCTTGTAAAATAACCACGATCGAACGCAATGAATCACCTCAATATAGAAAAAAAAATGCGCATTTTATTGTTTCATTGTTAACGAACCAAGAGTGCAAAGTTCGCATTTTTTTGTCAAGTGATAAAAGTACGACAATAAATGTTATTGTCGATTGTGGTCGTAAAAATAACGAATGTGGTACGTTCCGATGCTAAATTTAACCGGAAGTAGGTTCTTTATATAAACGCGGAACCGAGAAATCCTTGGCACGGAATTTTTATTTAATTTTGTACGTTACAAATATTTTAAATTTGAAGCGGATGCGATAGAGCTGATTTAATTTGTTTTTATTTTCACTTTTTCGTTAAACAGAAATTAGTTTACAAGGCAACACAGTTGTGAGCGTTAAAATGCCAAAGTTGTTTTATAGGCAAATTTCGTGTTACTGTATTTAAAGATTTATTCCTAGAAAGTGGTACTTTTCCACAAATCTTACGATAAAATATATCGAATGTGTACTAATTCGGAGTGACGTAATAACCACAAGTTTGACGTAAAATGGTTAAATTGTACCAAGTTTCTTTTCACTTTTAAATCTAGATTACGGTTTTTTGTTCTCAGCAAGGCTTTCAGAATCGAAACAATCACTGCAAGGTAAGAATTTTAAAATTTGCAAAGCTGAAGAATTTCGAAAATCGGAATTTTGCGAGATTGAGAAAAAAAAAGGTGAGTACTTCTAGTAAATGTTCTTAAAATTAGTTTTTCAAAGACGCAACACTTTCTATTCTTTGGTTTTTCAAAGATTTTTAGCCGCTCTGTTAATTTTTCAATTTTACATTTGTCAACTTTTCGGTTTTTAAATTTTATGTTTTCTGCACGTTATCAATTTTTTATTTTGTGATGTTTTATTTTTTGAATTTAATCTTTCAGTTTTTTGATTTCTTAATTCTCGAATTTTGAGTTTGCCAAAGTTTAGATTTGTTTATTTTTCAATTTTTTCATTTCGCAATTTTTGTAATTTTCAATTTTACAAATTTTAGATTTAGTTTAGATTGAATTTATTGCACAATAGTGCAAATGGTTAGCTGACAGTGTATGCTGATGACCATTTTTTTTCAGTATTACAACTTTTACATTTTTGTTATTTTTTCAATTTAACATTTTTTTTATTTTTCCCTTAATTTCATTAAATTCCCTAATTTTTTTATTTCTCAATTATTCGAATTTTCAATTTGACAATTTTAGACCTGATAATTTTTCAATTTTACAAGTTTTTGACTGTAAAATTGAAGATTTTTGACAAAAATTCAAGTATTTCAACGCTTTGAATTTTAAATTTGACAAATTTTAGAATTAGGTTTTTGGATTTAGATAGAATTTATGGCATAATTTTCTGATTTCTCAATTTTTTGAATTTTCCATTGGACAAATTTTAGATTTAGATAGAATTTATTGCCCAATAGTACAAAAGGTTTTTCGATTTTACAGTTTTTTGATTTTCAATGTTTCGAATCTCAATTAGACAAATTTTCGATTTAGGTTAATTTAATGCACAATAATACACACTCGACTAACCTGAAATTTTTCAAATTTTTGGCTTTTCAGTTTTACAATTTTTTAAATTTCACCACTTACTACATTGATTGTTCAGTTAGAATTTAAAATTTTTCAATTGTAGGAAGTCATTTCAATATTTCGATTTTTCAATTTTCAACTCCTCATTTTTCAATTTCGTTTTAACAATGTCGGCATTTTTACCAATTTTTGGACTTCTCAATTATCCGATTTTTCTTTTTTCAATTTTTTGACTTCTCAATTTTTGAATTTTCAATTTGATAAATTTTAGATTTAGATAGAATTTATTGCACAATAGTATAAAAGGTTAGCCTGACGGCGTTTAATGATAAAAACTCGACTAACCTGATTTGTAAATTTTCAAACTTTTTGGTTTTTTACAATATTTACATTTTTGTTCATTTTTCAATTTCACCATTTCTACAATTTTGAATTTTTCGAGTTGTAATTTTTGAATTTTACAATTTTTTCCCTTATTTTAAAATTTTCAATTTCTTTATTTTTCAATGTAACGATTTCAATATTTCGATTTTACAATTTCTGCATTTTTTTGATTTTTCAATTTTTCTTTTCCTCAGTTTTTCAATTTTACAACTTTACACTTTCTGATTTGTCAGTTAGAATTTAAAATTTATCAATTCAACAGTTCAATTTCTGCATTTTTTTCAACTTTTCGATTTTTCAATGTAACAACTTCGATGTTTAGATTTTATAATTTCTGTACATAAATTTTTTATTTCTCAATTTTTGAGGTTTTCAAGTTTACAACTTTACATTTTTCAAAATTTTCAATTTTTCGGTTTTTCGATTTTTCAATTTTACGATTTTTGCATTTTTCAATATTTCGATTTTATAATTTTTCTATTTCTCAATTATGGGATATTTCAAATTTTCCAGTTTCACGATTTTTGTCTTTTTTTAAATATCGATTTTTCAATTTTCAGACACTTCGATTTTTTTTTAGTTTTCTAGTTGTTGGATTTTTAATTTTTCTATTGGATTTTACAATTTTTCAACTTCTCAATTATCCATTTTTTCGATTTTCGGTAGGATTTAAAAATTTATTATTTTTCAATGTTTTGATTTTTCATTTTTCTTATTCAGTTTACATTTTTCCAAATTTTGAAAATCTGAATATACAAAAATTAAAAAGTCAATATTCTGATTTTTTCAATTTTTCGATTTTTTTCAATTTTAGATTTTTCAGTGATCCGATTTTATAATTTTTTGTTTAAATTTTTGACAGAAACTAAAAAATGAAAAAAAAAAACACAAGTTGAAAAATGTAAAAATTTTAAATTGGAGTTTGAACAATCCAACAAAAAAAAACTGAAATATCCAAATATTGAAAAATTCAAAAGTCAAAAAAATTAAAACTTTATATCTGAAAACTGGAAAAATTGAAAGATTGAGACGCTGAAATAGAAATTGAAAATGAAAAAAAAAAAACCGAAAATTTTTTTAAACTGAAGAAAGGAAAAATTCAGGAAAATCTAAGACCTGAACAAACAAAAATTAAAAAATCAAAAAAGTCACAAGTTGAAAAATGCAAAAATTGAAATTGAAGATTCGTAAGACTGTAAATCGAAACATTAAAAAACCCTTAAAATTTAAAGATTCAAAAATTGAAAAATGTAAAAATAGCAAAAAAAATTGAAAAATCGGAATAAATGAAAATTAAAAAACCAAAAAAGTCAAAAGTTGAAATAAATGAAGAAGTTTAAAGAACCTTAAATTCGAACAAGTGAAAAACCTAAAATTGAAGAAATGAAAAATTAAAAAATCGAATAATTCAAAACTTGAAAAATCAAAAAATTGAAACTTCGAAAATTGAAGAAATAAAAAATTAGAACATCAAAAATTCAAAAAAATTCTAAAATCCGAATAAACGAAAATTAAAAAATCAAATAAGTCAAAAGTTGAGAAGTGGAAAGGTCAAAAAATTGAAAAAATGAAAAATTAGCACATCTAAAATTCAAAGGTTGAAAAATGAAAAAACTGAGGAAAATCTAAAACCTGAATAAACAGAAATTAAAAAATCAAGAGTCAAAAGTTAAAAATGAAAAAATTGAGAAATTTTAACCTGAAATCTCTGAAAATGGAAGAAATGAAAAATTAATAAATCGAAAAATTCCAAACTTGAAAAATTCAAACTTGAAACTTCGAAATTTAAAGATTTTCAAAAAAAAACTGGAAAAAATGAAACTGAGAATCCGAAAAATTGTAAACGCAATAAGTAAAGAAATAAAAAGCCTACAATCGAAAAAAATATAAATTTAAATCCTAAAACTCGGAAAATAGAAGAAACAAGAAAAATCTGAACATTGAAGACATGAAAAAGTACAAAAAGAAAAAACTGATAACTTAAAAACTCGAAAACTTGAAAAATTGAAGAAACAAAAATTAGAACAAAGTCAAAATAAAATTTAAATTGAAGATTTGAAAGATTGTAAATCGAAAAATTAAAGCACCAAAAAATTTAAAGATTGAAAAATGTATAAATACAAAAAAAAAAAAACAAAAATATTAAGAATTTATATCTGAAAGTTCGAAAAATTGAATAAATGAAAAATTCAACATTAATTCAAAGGGCGAAAAATCGGAAAATCGAGAAATTTTAACCCGAAATCTCTAAAAATTGAAAATCCTCATTATTATTATTATTATCTAACAATAGAAAAAAAAAAAAAAACTCGGAAAATTGAAGAAACAAAAAATTGAAAGTTCGAAAAATGAAAAATTTGAAGATTAAAGAAATAAAAATGTCAAAAGTTGAAAAATGAAAACATTGAAATTGAAGATTCTTAAGATCGTTAATCGAAAAATTAAAGAACCAAAAAATAAAAAAAATGACAAATTTAATTTCAAATCTGAAAACTCGAAAAATCGAAGAAACGCAACAAGGGAAGTTCGAAAAATTGAAGAAATGAAAAATTAAAAAATTCAAAGCATGAAAAATCGAAAAATTAAAAAACCAAAAAATTTAAAGATTCAAAAATTGAAATATGTAATACAAAAAAAATGTTAAAATACAATAAATGAAATATTTAAATCTGAAAATTTGAAAAATCGAAGAAACGAAAAATGGGAAGTATCGAAAAATTGAAGAAATGAAAAATTCAATAATTCAAATAATGAAAAATCGGAAAATCGAGAAATTTTAACCCCAAATCTCTAAAAATTGAAGAAATGAAAAAGTAAAAAATATAAATCTGAACTCTTGAAAAATTGAAGAAACAAAAAACTGAAAGATCGAAAAAATGAGAAATTTGGAGATTGAGGAAATCAAAAATTAGAACATCGAAAAAGTCAAAAGAAAATTTAAATTGAAGATTCGAAAGATTGTAAATCGAAAAATTAAAGCACCAAAAAATTTAAAGATTGAAAAATGTATAAATTCAAAAAAAAACAAGAATATTAAGAATTTATATCTGAAAGTTCGAAAAATTGAATAAATGAAAAATTCAACATTAATTCAAAGGGCGAAAAATCGGAAAATCGAGAAATTTTAACCCGAAATCTCTAAAAATTGAAGAGATGAAAATTGAAAATCCTCATTATTAGTATTATTATTATTATTGTTATCTAACAATAGAAAAAACTAAAACTCGGAAAATTGAAGAAACAAAAAATTGAAAGATCGAAAAAATGAAAAATTTGAAGATTCGTAAGATCGTTAATCGAAAAATTAAAGAACCAAAAAATAGAAAAAAAATGACAAATTTAATTTTAAATCTGAAAACGCGAAAAATCGAAGAAACGAAAAAAGGGAAGTTCGAGAAATTGAAGAAATGAAAAATTAAAAGATTCAAAAATTGAAAAATGTAATACAAAAAAAATGTTAAAATACAAAAAAATTAAATATTTAAATCTGCAAATTCGAAAAATTGAAGAAACGGAAAAGTAAAAAATCATAAAATTCAAAACTTAAAAAACCGAAAAATTGAAACTTGAATATACTCATTATTATTTTTACTATTATTATTATCTAACAATAGAAAAATAAAAATTTTAAACTGAAAACTCGGAAAATTGAAGAAACCACAGAAAGAACTGATAAGCTGAAAAATCGAAAAATTTAAATCTGAAATCTTGAAAAATTGAAACAAAAAACTGAAAGATCGACGAAATGAAAAATTTGAAGATTGAAGAAATAAAAAAATTCAAAACATTCAAAAGAAATTCTAAAATCTGAAAATGTTCAATTTTTTCTTTCTTAAATTTTTTTTTGCAATTTTTCTAGTTTTTAAATATCAATCATTTCAAGTATGTAGTAATGATTGTTAAAATTTTTCACTTTTTCAATTTTACGATTTTAGAATTTTTTCAACTTCTCGTTTTTACAACTTTCCAATTTTTTAATTTTCCAATTTTTCATTTCTTTTGTTTCTTGAATTTTTATGACCTGCAATTTTTCGAGTTTTTATTTTATTTTTTCAATTTATAGATTTTGCAATTTCTCTATTGAAATTGAATACATATTAAAAATTTAAAAAATCGGAAAATCGGATAATTGGAAATTCAAAAATCGCAAAATTGAAGAATTTAATTCGGTCTTTTCAAGGACCTTTAGTTAAATTTCTAGTATAAAAAAAATCTGTAGCCCCAAATATACGACCAGTTCTTGGAAAGTTCCAGCACAACATCTTCGACATTTGATAGTTGGCCACGACACGTACGTCAAAACAGCTGACATAAACGTCATGACCAACCAAAGCAGAAATAAAAAAAAACACCCGATATAAATCCCCAAAATTCTTAATTTCCTCAAGGTGTTGGCTAGTTTTAAGAAATCCCAAACTTTCGTCGAGCTCCAACGCTAAATCCGTTCACACTAACCGTTATCCTTACGTTAGATTCCTCGTAAACGTCATAAAATTTCCCACGTTTTTTATAACTATGATGTTTACCTCCCGGAAACCCCGTCACCCACTTACGTCACTCCCCTAACCTCAAACCCCAATTGCGCAACTTCTCCCAACCCACCCCCAACACTCACCTCGTAGGATAGCATTCCTCGAACCCCAAAATCTCCCGTTGTCCGCATCTCCGTAGCACCAGTTCCTTCGCAGTAACCTCGAAATGATCTCCTTCGACAATCGCCTTCCTCGCATTCAACGAAAGCTTCCGCAGGCTCTGAACGCTCCCAGCCAAGTCTTCGACGAAGTCACCTTCTTCTTGTTGTTGCACATAACCTACGGTTTCGAACTTCGTAATGCACATGCAATCGCTTTCGATTCGACGCAACGTATTCGCAACGTAAAACATACAAAGACTAGTGTCCACGGTGATGTTACACGCACAATTGAACCAAAACAAAACGCGGAAAACAATAAAAATACGAGCTCGTCGCGTAGGAGGACGCCGTCGATTTCGCCGCGTACTTTTTCCACAAAATGGAGAAAGCTGGTGACGACGTTGGTTACGAGGGGTCACGTGCGGGAGAGGCGAGCGGCGATTGGACGGAGTGGGGAGGACGGGTCATAGAGCTAGAAACGCGGATGACGGGTGATGAGTCAGGGGGAAACGGATAAGAGATAAGGCGATAGGGTGAAGGTTGATGGGTGACTCAGTGGTTGCAACATGGTTTAAAATAGGATTTGGATTTAGAATGTGGGCGGAGACGACGGAAGAACGGCTGTGGAAAGGGTGCTTTGGGTGGTGGTTAACGTTTGTTATGTCTGTGGTGACAATGAGGTTAGGGTTTTAGTCGGAAGAAAAATGGTTGAAGGTTATCACAAAAACCCGACGTTTCGATTTTACAAGTTCAGCATTTTTTAAATTTTTTCATTTTTCAAAATATGAGTTTCTTAATTCCCTAATTTTTGGAATTTTTAATTTGGCAATTTTCAGATTGTTGATTTTTCAGTTAGAAATTTAAAATTTTTCATTTCTTAATTCAACGATTTTAATTTTTCGTTTTTTTGACTTTTAGGTTTTTCAATTTTTGATGTTTCAATTTGTCCATTCTTCAAAGTTTTCGTTTCGGGTTTTTATTTTCTTCATTTTTACAATCTTTCGGTTTTTTAATGTTCTGATTTTGTTTTTTTTCTAAAAATTGAAATATAGAAAAATAGAAAAATTTGAAAACTGAAGAAATGAAAAATTACATCAAAAATTCAAAAGTTCAAAAATCAAAATTAGAAGAAAATATAAAATCTGAATAAACAAAAATTAAAAAAGTCAAAAGTCAAAAGTTGTAAAAAAGTCAATATTCTGATTTTTTCAATTTTTCGATTTTTTTCAATTTTAGATTTTTCAGTGATCCGATTTTATAATTTTTTGTTTTAATTTTTGACAGAAACTAAAAAATGCAAAAATTAACAAGTTGAAAAATGTAAAAATTTTGAATTGGAAGTTCGAATAATCCAACACAAAAAACTGAAATATCCAAATATTGAAAAATTCAAAAGTTGAAAAAAATTAAAACTTTACATCTGAAAACTGGAAAAATTGAAATGAAAAAATTCAGAACTTGAGAATTAAAAAAAAACCGAAAAATTGTTTAAACTGAAGAAAGGAAAAATTGAGGAAGATCTAAAACCTGAACAAACAAAAATTAAAAAATCAAAAGTCAAAAGTTGAAAAATGCAAAAATTGAAATTGAAGATTCGTAAGGCTGTAAATCGAAAAATTAAAAAACCCTTAAAATTTAAAGATTCAAAAATTGAAAAATCGGAATAAATGAAGATTAAAAAATCAAAAAAGCCAAAAGTTGAAATAAATGAAGAAATTTAAAGAACCTTAAATTCGAAAAAGTGAAAAATCTAGAAATTGAAGAATTGAAAAATTAAAAAATCGAATAACTCAAAACTTGAAAAATCGAAAAATTGAAACTTCGAAAATTGAAGAAACAAAGAACTCAAAGATCGAAAAATATGAAAAATTTGAAGATTGAAGAAATAAAAAATTAGAACATCAAAAATTCAAAAAACTTCTAAAATCTGAATAAACGAAAATTAAAAAATTAAATAAGTTGAGAAGTGGATAGGTCAAAAAATTGAAAAAATGAAAAATTAGAACATCAAAAATTCAAAGGGTGAAAAATAAAAAAATTGAGGAAAATTTAAACCTGAATAAACAGAAATTAAAAAATCAAAAAAGTCAAAAGTTAAAAAATGAAAAAATTGAGAAATTTTAACCTGAAATCTCTGAAAATGGAAGAAACAAAAAACTAAAATATCGAAAAAGTGAAAAATCTAAAAACTGTAGAAATGAAAAATTAATAAATCGAAAAATTCAAACTTGAAACTTCGAAATTTAAAGATTCTCAAAAAAAAACTGGAAAAAATTAAATTGAGAATCCGAAAAATTGTAAACGCAATAATTAAAGAAGTAAAAAGCTTACAATTATTGAAAAAAATAAAAATTTTAATCCGAAAACTCGGAAAATGGAAGAAACAAGAAAAATCTGAAGATTGAAGAAATGAAAAACTACAAAATCAAAAAACTGATAACTTAAAAAATCGAAAATTTGAAAAATATAAATCTGAACTCTTGAAAAATTGAAGAAACAAAAAACTGAAAGATCGAAAAAATGAGAAATTTGGAGGTTGAAGAAATCAAAAATTAGAACATCGAAAAAGTCAAAAGAAAATTTGAATTGAAGATTCGAAAGATTGTAAATCGAAAAATTAAAGCACCAAAAAATTTAAAGATTTAAAAATGTATAAATACAAAAAAAAAAAAATATTAAGAATTTATATCTGAAAGTTCGAAAAATTGAATAAATGAAAAATTCAACATTAATTCAAAGGACGAAAAATCGGAAAATCGAGAAATTTTAAAAATCGAAGAAATGAAAATTGAAACTCCTCATTATTATTATTATTATTATCTAACAATAGAAAAAAATAAAACTCGGAAAATTGAAGAAACAAAAAATTGAAAGTTCGAAAAAATGAAAAAATTGAAATTGAAGATTCGTAAGATCGTTAATCGAAAAATTAAAGAACCAAAAAATAGAAAAAATGACAAATTTAATTTTAAATCTGAAAACTCGAAAAATCGAAGAAACGCAAAAAGGGAAGTTCGAGAAATTGAAGAAATGAAAAATTAAAAAATTCAAAGCATGAAAAATCGAAAAATAAAAAAATTTAAAGATTCAAAAATTGAAAAATGTAATACAAAAAAAAAAATGTTAAAATACAAAAAAATGAAATATTTAAATCTGAAAATTCGAAAAATTGAAGAAATGAAAAATGGAAAGATCGAAAAATTGAAGAATTGAAATATTCAATTCAAAAGATGAAAAATTGAACAATTGAGAAATTTTAACCTGAAATCTCTATAAATTTAAGAATCAAAAAACTCAAAAATTAAAAAAGTGAAAAATCTAAAAATTGAAGAAATTAAAAATAAAAAAAATCCAAATATTCAAAACTTGAAAAATCGAGAAATGGTAAATTGAATGTATAAACGGAAATTTAAATCTGAAAACTTGGAAAATTGAAGAAACAAGAGAAATGAAAAACTACAAAATCGAAAAAGTGAAAAATTTAAACCCGAAATCTTGAAAAATCTGAAAATTTTCAATTTTTCTTTATTTAAATTTTTGATTTGTAAGTTTTCTGGTTTTCATTTCAAATATGTAATAATTGTTAAATTTTTCACTTTTTCAATTTTACGATTTTAGAATTTTTCTATTCTTCATTTACTGGACTTTTTTAATTTTACGACTTTTTGATTTTTTATTATTTTCAATTTTTCATTTCTTTAAATTGGCGATTTGCAATTTTTCATTTCGGTTTTTATATTCTTTATTTTTGCAATTAAAATTGTTTCAATTTTTCGTTTCAGTTTTCGATTTTACAACTCTTGAAAAATAGAAAAAAAAAAAAACGACAAATTTAAATCTGAAAACTCGAAAAATTGAAGAAACGAAAAATGGAAAGTTCGAAAAATTGAAGAAATGAAAAATTAAAAAATTCAAAAGATGAAAAATCGAACAATTGGGACATTTTAACCTGAAATCTCTATAAATTTAAGAATCAAAAAACTCAAATATTAAAAAAGTGAAAAATCTAAAATCGAAGAAATTAAAAATAAAAAAAATCCAAATATTCAAAACTTGAAAAATCGAGAACTTGTAAATTAAAGATCCTCAAAAATCTGAAGAAACTAAAATTAAAAAATCAACCAGTTTTAAAGTTGAAAATTGGAAAAAATGAAATTGAAAATCCGAAAAATTGTAAACGGAAATTTAAATCTGAAAACTTGGAAAATTGAAGAAACAATAGAAATGAAAAACTACAAAATCGAAAAAATGAAAAATTTAAACCCGAAATCTTGAAAAATCTGAAAATTTTCAATTTTTCTGTTCTTAAATTTTTGATTTACAAGTTTTCTGGTTTTCATTTCAAATATGTAATAATTGTTAAATTTTTCACTTTTTCAATTTTTTTTACGATTTTAGAATTTTTCCATTCTTCAATTACTGGATTTTTTAATTTTACGACTTTTCGATTTTTCATTATTTAAAATTTTTTGATTCTTCAATTTTTCATTTCTTTGAATTGGCGATTTGCAATTTTTTCATTTCGATTTTTATATTCTTTATTTTTGCAATTAAAATTTTTTTATTTTCTTTAATTTTACAATTTTTCATATTTCAATTTTTATTTTTTTTCAGTTTTTCGATTTTCCAACTCTTGAAAAATAGAAAAAAAAACACAAATTTAAATCTGAAAAGTCGAAAAATTGAAGAAACGAAAAATGGAAGAAATGAAAAATTAAAAAATTCAAAAGATTAGAAATCGAACAATTGGGACATTTTAACCTGAAATGTCTATAAATTTAAGAATAAAAAACTCAAATATTAAAAAAGTTAAAAATCTAAAAATTGAAGAAATTAAAAATAAAAAAAATCCAAATATTCAAAACTTGAAAAATCGAGAAATTGTAAATTGAAGATCCTCAAAAATCTGAAGAAACTAAAATTAAAAAATCAGACAGTTTTAAAGTTGAAAATTGGAAAAAATGAAACTGAAAATCCGAAAAATTATAAACGGAAATTTAATCTCGGAAAATTGAAGAAACAAGAGAAATGAAAAACTACAAAATCGAAAAACTGAAAATTTTAAACTTGAAATCTTGAAAAACCTGAAAATTTTCAATTTTTCTTTTCTTAAATTTTTGATTTGGAATTTTAGAATTTTTCCATTCTTCAATTACTGGATTTTTTTTAATTTTACGACTTTTCGATTTATTATTTTAAATTTTTTGGTTCTTCAATTTTCAATTCTTTAAATTTGTGATTTGCAATTTTTCATTTCGGTTTTTATATTCTTTATTTTTACAATTAAAATTGTTTCAATCTTTCGTTTCAGTTTTTTATTTTCTTTAATTTTACAATTTTTCATTTTTCAAATTTTCGATTTTTCAATGTTCTAATTTTATAATTTGCCTTTTTTTCAATGCGACATTTTTCAATTTTTGGGTTTTCCAATGTTTCGATTCGATTCGTTTTTTCTTCTTTCCAATTTTTTTATTCATTAGTTATAAGTTTCTCGATTTTTAGTTTTAATATTTTTATAAAATAGAAAAATTGAGAAACTTCAAAATCGAAAAATGAAATATGTATTGTAAAATCGAAAAATGAAAATTGCAAAATTGGAAGTCTAGAAATTGAAATATTGAGAAAATTAAAATTGAAAGAACGAAAACTTATGAACCCGAAAACATTGAAACATTGCAACATTGTAAAACCGAAAATTCAAAAATCAAATACGAAAAAATATAAAAATGAAGAATTAAAATCAAGAACTTGAAAAATTGAGGGAACAAAAAATGAAAAAATTAAAAATTATAAAATTTGGAAATCGAGAAATTTAAAAAACTAAAGACTGAAAACTCAGCACGGATTCATAGACCACAAGTACAGGAGTATCTTATTTCATTGAATTAAAAAAAAAATATTAAACCTACTAAAACCGCGCCAAATTCAAATTCCCTTGCGAATACGTCACCTAAACCCTACTCACTCAAATGGCTCCTGGCGTAGCTCTCCAACAGCGACCTCCCAATCGACTTCCTTCCCACGGGAACAATCTGCGACTTCCGCGAACTATCCAAATTCAATTTCTCTTTAAACATACACTTGAAGCAGACACAATCTGAAACCCAAGTTGATTAAAGAACAACCCACAAAAACCCATACCTTCAGGGCACCCCACATTGACGTCAACCAACACCGAACTCCTGCGAAGCAACGAAAGCGACCTCCGATAGGACTTCCCCGGCTTCAATTTCAACGACTTCGTCGGTTTTTTAAACTGCGTTGGTTTGATTGGGTCTTCCGAAGATTCAATAATATCTGACAGATCTAAATGGGGCTCGAGAATAGAACACTGGGGTGGTTTGGTGGATGGGGGCGTATTTGTGTAAGAGTGGTCGTGATGTACAACCTCGACTGACTTATTTAAATCCGTTAGCGGTTTTTTATTGAAACCTAAAGTAATGTCGCTAAGGATGACGATTTTAGAGTCACTTTTGCTTGAAAGGGTCGAGGTTGAAGGCCTCGGGGGCGAAATTAAAAAGTCCAGACTTCGATTGTTGTGAGAATTCGAGTTCGTTTCCGGTTTAATTTCACCCTTATTGTCGTCAGTTTGGTCTTTTAGGTAGTAACTCTGCATGAACTTGTCAAAGTCGTCCAGATCTACCGTTATCACACTATTTTTCTTTGGGAGACAGATTTCCTTGTCTTTCAGTTCTTCTATTTGTACTCTACTACTCGACGAGCTAAAGTCGAACGACTCCGAGTGACTATACGACATTTCTTTTTCCGACAAAATGTCGTCCGTGACGTCAACACACTTTTTCATCTTCGACTTTCTACTATTGGCAGCCTGCGTTTTCTTTGCGGCGACGGAAGCCGTAGGTCGCCGACTCGTCACGAACGACTGACGTTTCTCCCTCGTTCTCAGTCCTTTTCTCCTCACACTTTTTCTCTTAAAGTCGACTTTAGTAAACCGGGTTGATCGACGTCTGGTGCGACTTTTCGCTTCTTTGGGTGAATTTATCGAGGGTTTAGGCAACCGTTGTCTTCGTTTAGTGTAATCATGGTTGTAACTAACGAACGAGTTGTGGCACTCCTGGGAGTACTCACCGGAGTTTGACTGTTCCTCTGGGGTGAACCCCCTCAAGACATTGTCCCGACTATAATCTAAAACGGTCTGCGAAAATTCGTCTGAAAGCTCCTTACCAGTCCTCTGTTCGTCACAAGTGAAGCCCTGAAAGTCCGCTGGACCCTCTTTTTCCGGAATACAATTCTCCACACAAACTTTTACTTCGCACTTTAGTTTCCAATCTTTGTCTTTCGGACTGTCCAATGGTAGTTTGCGGGGACGCCCTCGGGGTCGTTTAACTTTAACCCCTTGCCCCTCCAACGGAAAATTCTTGTCCCATTTCCGGATTTGGTCGAACGATTTTTCAATTAATTCGGACGAACTGGATGAGTCCGATTTGGCTACGGGTGACACCGGGTTGGATACGCTTTTTGGGTTGCTCACGATCGGCGAAATGCAGTCTTCCACGATTTTCGACCGCCGGGTGTTCACGTAAGGGGTGCTGGAGTGCACGAACGCCCGCTCCCTAAACGTGTCACTAAAAATGGGGTCCTGGTTGTTGTTCATGACTTGGTCTTCGGTGATCCTCGGGAGCTTAATGTAACTGAGAGTGGAGAAGTTGTGTTTGCTTTCTTTCTCGATTGACAGACTCTTGGTGACAGGTTTATCCAAAGTTGAGCTTTTTTCACTATTTTCGTTACTATTAGCCTCCTCGGTGCTCTTTTTGCGCCTGCGCGTCATTATAGAGCTCCGGTAACTCCTACTGGTGCTTTTCGATAAGTTGGATTTAAGACTACTACACACTAAAACATTCTTCCTGACTGGTTTATCCACAGTTGAGCTTTCTTCACTATCCACTTCGGTGACCAAAGCGGTGGTTTTTTTGCGCCTGCGGGTCATTATAGGGCTCCGGTACGTCACTGAGGTGTCGCTATTCGACGAATTGAATTTGAGAATATTACACACTATTTTTACTTCATTGTAAACTTTTCCTTTGACAAGTCTATCAAACGTGTCGTTCGTTTCCACCTTGAGCGAGTCGTCGGTGAGCTGAGTGGGGCCCTGTGGAGGCAACTCCTTCAGTTCGATTTTGGCTTTCTTCCGACTCTTGAATCTCTTGGTCAAATTTTCCACGAACAAAGCGTTGACTGCGTCGACGGAGTTCACACTCGTGTTCATTCGGACTCGGGTCTTTTTCATGTACGTTTTCATCGGTTGATGTGATGGCATTTTGAAGATTTTACAATTTTACCTAAAAACAAATTCTTGAATTATTTTTTTTTGACAGCCACGCTCACCAATGCTGCCAATCGTGTCTAGGGACTTTGGTTATGCGCACAGTGCGAAATGTCACCTTGGTGACTTTCGCGTCGTCAAGTTTATATGTCAACATTGTCAACAATAATATAGGTTATTAGTGATAAGAATGCCCTCAGGAGTGGCGAAACGACTGACGGTGAGCCCCTTTAACCCTATTGTTCGAATTTCACGTGCCCCCTTTCAGCCACCATGGAGACCACCCACATCTGTCAACTAGCCTCACAGCTTCGGATCTCTCAGCACAAACCCAGCGTTCTCACACTGTCCACGGACACCCTGTCCTCTCTCCTCTCCTCCTTCACCCTAATCGAAGAACAATCGACGTCGTTCCAAGTCAAGCAGCCCCACAACTTCAAAGCCGAACTCCTAAGAGACTTACAGTACCTCAGCAACTACATCCAGCAAGCTAAAACGTTCAAACTTTACTGGAGCCCGTGCGAAGACCCCTATCTCGATCTGACGAAGTTCAAAAATGTGCTCTCGATTGAGTTTTGTAAGGTTGATGTGAATTGTGTAAGGGGGTTGCAGGCGCTGCGGCCCCAATTGAGAAAAATCGTGTGCCAAAAAACCTGCAACTGTTTAGCGGACGTGTTGAGTAATTGTGGGGGCGACCAGAGTCACGCGTATTGTTGGAATGAGCTCAAGGAGGCTAGTTTTATTAACAATGGGATTGTGGAGGTGGATCAAAGTCTGGAATGCGCCCCCTGGCTGCACACGTTGGACTTGAGTCATAACGAGATTACAAACATCGAAGCTTTGAGTTGTTTACACAACTTGAAATATCTTAATTTGTCGTATAATAAGTTGGAGGGGGTGCCGCCTTTGAAGGGACAGATTTGTAGCCGTTTGCAGGTGAGAAATATGTTTATTTTTGGTTTCTTGCGTTTTATCATTAAAATTAATTTGTTTATCTCTTCCCAAAAAATGAGATGAAGTAATTTCAAAATTTTGCCCAAGAAATCCTCTCTGAATTTTTCGAAAAATCTGGAACTTTCTAGCAGAATTTTTCGTTTTTCCATTTTCTTTGATTTCCCAATTTTTCAATTTCTCCATTTTTTATTTTTTCGTTTCCTAAATTTTTCAAGTTCGTCATTTTTATTTTTCATTTTCCAGTTTTCTAATTTTCATTTTCTCGATTTTATAATTTTTCGTTTCTTCAGTTCTTCCAGTTCTTGATTTTCAGTTTTTAGATTTTTCAGTTTTCATTTTATACTTTTTCGATTTTTCATTTTTGATTTTTCAATTTTACAATTTTGAAGTTGAGAAATCGAAAAACTAAAAAAAGAAACACAAAAATTTATGAATTGTAACATTGAAAAATTGTAAAAATAAGGAAAATAAAAAACCGAAACGAAAAATTGAAAAATTATGAACTGAAAATTCTAAAATTGGAAAAACGAACAACTAAAACCGAGAGTTTGAAAATCGAAATCTTCCGGGAAGTCAAAAAATCGAAAATTGAAAAATAGAAAATTCGATAAATGAAAAATCCAAAATTTGGAAATTGAGATTTCGAGAATATCGAAAAATTCAAGAATCGAAATAGAGAAAAAGCGAAATCTAAAGTCAAAAATTGAAAAGTTGAAAAATCTAAAATCTAAATATTGAAAATTGAAAAAAATGATAATTCAAAATGAAAAAATTTTGAATATCGAAAATCCAAAAAATGGAAAAATCAAAAATTTTCCAAATGTCGAATTTTTGATTTTTCCATTTTTTTGATCAACCAAAAAGTAGACAAATCGGAAAACCGAGAAATCGAAACATCAAACGATCGGGACATCGAAAAGTCAAAAAATTGACGTGTTGAAAAATCGAAAACTGAACTAAAATTGAGAGTTTGAAAATCGAAAAAATTGAATAACATCTTCCGGGAAGTCAATAAATCAAAAATTGAAATAAATGAAAAAGAACAATTGAAATGTAAAAAAAATGAAAAACCGAAAAACTGAGGAATGGAAAAATTGAAAATTCGAATACCGAAAAAACCAAAAGAAAAAAAATTGGATAGCTCTAAAAACTGAAGAATGAAAAAAGTGAAAAATTGGAAATTTTGAGAAATCGAAAAATCCAAAATTCGAAAAAACGAAAATCCGAGAAATCGCAAAAAGATTTCGAGAATATCTAAAAATTCAAGAATCGAAATAGCGAAAAAGCGAAATATAAAGTCGAAAAATCTAAAATCTAAATATTGGAAATTGAAAAAAATTATAATTCAAAATAACAAAATTTTGAATATCAAAAAATGGAAAAATCAAAAATTTTCCAAATGTCGAATTTTTGGTTTTTCCATATTTTGTAAAATCGAAAAACTAAAACCAAAAACTAGAATTAAAATATCAAAAAATTCCAAAAATTGAGAATTGAAAAATTGAGAAATCGATAGGGAAACAAATTGAAAATTCGAATATCGAAAAATCGAAAATTCACTGAATTAAATATTCGAAAAAACGAAAATCCGAGAAATCGAAAAATCAAAAATTTGAAAATGGAAATTTTGAAAAATCCAAGAATCCAAATAAGAAAAAAACGAAATATAAAGGCCAGAAATGGAAAAATCCAAACATCGAAATATAAAAAAATATATCGACAGTCGAAAAATCGAAAATCCTAACATCGAAACTTTGAAAAATGGAGAAATTGAAAAATGCATAATTCAAAATAAAAACTTTTGAGAATCGAGAAACCAAAAACTGAAATGTTGAAAAATTGAAAAATCCAAAATTCGAAAAATTGACAATTGAAAAATCGAAAAGCAAATAAATTGAAAATTCGAATTTCGAAAAATCGAAAATTTGATGAATCAAATATTCGAAAAAACGAAAATCCGAGAAATCGAAAACCGAAAAATTCCAAAATTTGAAAAATTGAGAAATCGAAAAATTAAAAATTTGAAAATCGAGATTTCGAAAAACATCTAAATATAAAAAAATATATCGAAAGTCGAAAAATCGAAAATCCTAACATCGAAACGTTGAAAAATGGAGAAATTGACAAATGCATAATTCAAAATAAAAAACTTTTGAGGATCGAAAAAGTGTAAAATTCAAAAAATGAAAAAATCAAAAATTTTCGAAATTCCAAATTCTTGACTTTTCAATTTTTTTTTTTAAATCGTAAAACCAAAAAGTCAAAATAAAAATATCCAAACATTGGAAAATTCAAAGAATTCCAAAAACTGAAGTGTTGAAAAATTGAAAAATCCAAAATTCGAAGAATTGAATCAAATATTCGAACAAACGAAAATCCGAGAAATCGAAAACCGAAGTTCCAAAAATTGAAAAATTGAGAAATCGAAAAGGAGACAAATTGGAAATTCGAAAATACGAACATCCGAGAAATCGAAAAATTAAAAATTTGAAACTCGAGAATCAAAATTCTAAAATTGAAATGTTGAAAAATGGTGAAATTGAATGATTTATAATTTAAATTAAAAAAAAAAATGTATTTCGACAAATAGAAAAGTCAAACAATGGAAAAATAAAAAATCTTCGAAATTTCGAACTTTTGATTTTCCCATTTTTTTGAAAAATCAAAAAACTAAAACGTGGAACAAGAATTGTCATTTGATAATTCCAAATAAAAAAAGTTTGATTATCGAAAATCCAAAAATGTAAAAATAAAATTTTTCGAAATTTCAAACTTTTGATTTTTCCATTTTTTTGACCAACCAAAAAGTAGACAAATCGGAAAACCGAGAAATCGAAACATCAAACGATCGGGACATTGAAAAGTCAAAAAATCGACAGACCAAAAAATTTTAAATTAAAACATCGAAAAATTGAAAAATCCAAAAATTGAAGTGTTGAAAAATCGAAAACTGAACTAAAACCGAGAGTTTGAAAATCGAAAAAATTTAATAACATCTTCCGGGAAGTCAAAAAATCGAAAATTGAAAAATAGAAAATTCGATAAATGAAAAAGAACAATTGAAATGTAAAAAAATGAAAAACCGAAAAACTGAGGAATGGCAAAATTGAAAATTCGAATACCGAAAAAACCAAAATTAAAAAAATCGGAAAGCTCTAAAAATTGAAGAATGAAAAAAGTAAAAAATTGGAAATTTTGAGAAATCGAAAAATCCAAAATTCGAAAAAACGAAAATCCGAGAAACCGCAAAAAGATTTCGAGAATATCTAAAAATTCAAGAATCGAAATAGAGAAAAAGCGAAATATAAAGTCGAAAAATCTAAAATCTAAATATTGGAAATTGAAAAAAATTATAATTCAAAATAACAAAATTTTGAATATCAAAAAATGGAAAAATCAAAAATTTTCCAAATGTCGAATTTTTGGTTTCTCCATATTTTGTAAAATCGAAAAACTAAAACCAAAAACCAGAATTAAAATATCAAAAAATTCCAAAAATTGAGAATTGAAAAATTGAGAAATCGATAGGGAAACAAATTGAAAATTCGAATATCGAAAAATCAAAAATTTGAAAATGGAAATTTCGAAAAATCCAAGAATCCAAATAAGAAAAAAACGAAATATAAAGGCCAGAAATGGAAAAATCCTAACATCGAAACGTTGAAAAATGGAGAAATTGAAAAATGCATAATTCAAAATAAAAACTTTTGAGAATCGAAAAACCAAAAAGTCAAAATAAAACTATCCAACATTGGAAAATTCAAAGAATTCCAAAAACTGAAGTGTTGAAAAATTGAAAAATCCAAAATTCGAATTTCGAAAAATCGAAAATTTGATGAATCAAATGTTCGAAAAAACGAAAATCCGAGAAATCGATAACCGAAAAATTCCAAAATTTGAAAAATTGAGAAATCGAAAAATTAAAAATTTGAAAATCGAGATTTCGAAAAATCCAAAAATCGAGACTTCGATAAATCCAAAAATCGAAATATAAAAAACCAAATATAAAGTGGGAAGAAAATCCAAGAATTGAAAAATAAAAAATCAAAATTCTAAAATTGAAATGTTGAAAAATGGTGAAATTGAATGATTTATAATCTAAAATAAAAAAAAAATGTATTTCGACAAATAGAAAAGTTAAACAATGGAAAAATAAAAAATCTTTGAAATTTCGAACTTTTGATTCTCCCATTTTTTTGAAAAATCAAAAAACTAAAACGTGGAACAAGAATTGTTATTTGATAATTCCAAATAAAAAAATTTTGATTATCGAAAATCCAAAAATTAAAAATAAAATTTTTCGAAATTTCAAACTTTTGATTTTTCGATTTTTTTGACCAACCAAAAAATCTAAAATTAAAACATCGAAAAATTGAAAAATCGAAAACTGAACTAAAACCGAGAGTTTGAAAATCGAAAAAATTGAATAACATCTTCCGGGAAGTCAAAAAATCGAAAATTGAAAAATAGAAAATTCGATAAATGAAAAAGAACAATTGAAATGTAAAAAAATGAAAAACCGAAAAACTGAGGAATGGAAAAATTGAAAATTCGAATACCGAAAAAACCAAAAGTAAAAAAATTGGAAAGCTCTAAAAACTGAAGAATGAAAAAAGTGAAAAATTGGAAATTTTGAGAAATCGAAAAATCCAAAATTCGAAAAAACGAAAATCCGCGAAATCGCAAAAAGATTTCGAGAATATCTAAAAATTCAAGAATCGAAATAGAGAAAAAGCGAAATATAAAGTCGAAAAATCTAAAATCTAAATATTGGAAATTGAAAAAAATAATTCAAAATAACAAAATTTTGAATATCAAAAAATAGAAAAATCAAAAATTTTCCAAATGTCGAATTTTTGGTTTTTCCATATTTTGTAAAATCGAAAAACTAAAACCAAAAACTAGAATTAAAATATCAAAAAATTGAAAAATTCCAAAAATTGAGAATAAAAAAATTGAGAAATCGATAGGGAAACAAATTGAAAATTCGAAAATCGAAAAATCAAAAATTTGAAAATGGAAATTTCGAAAAATCCAAACATCGAAATATAATAAAATATATCGAAAGTCGAAAAATCCAAACACCTTACATCGAAACGTTGAAAAATGGAGAAATTGAAAAATGCATAATTCAAAATAAAAACTTTTGAGGATTGAAAAAGTGAAAATTCAAAAAATGAAAAAATGAAAAATTTTCGAAATTCCAAATTCTTGACTTTGCAATTTTTTTTGAAAAATCGAAAAACCAAAAAGTCAAAATAAAAATATCCAAACATTGGAAAATTCAAAGAATTCCAAAAACTGAAGTGTTGAAAAATTGAAAAATCCAAAATTCGAAAAATTGACAATTGAAAAATCGAAAAGCAAATAAATTGAAAAATCGAAAATTTGATGAATCAAATATACGAAAATCCGAGAAATCGAAAACCGAAAAATTCCAAAAATTGAAAAATTGAGAAATCGAAAGGGAGACAAATTGGAAATTTGAAAATCGAGATTTCGAAAAATCCAAAAATGGAGACTTCGAAAAATCCAAAAATCGAAATATAAAAAACCAAATATAAAGTCGGAAGATAAAAAATTCTAAAATTGAAAAGTCGGAAAATGGAAAAATCCAAGAATTAAAAAATAAAAAAATCAAAATTCTAAAACTGAAATGTTGAAAAATGGTGAAATTGAATGATTTATAATTTAAAATAAAAAAATTGTATTTCGACAAATAGAAAAGTCAAACTTAAATAAATAATTTCGAATTTTTGATTTTCCCATTTTTTTGAAAAATCAAAAAACTAAAAAGTGGAACAAGAATTATTATTTGATAATTCCAAATAAAAAAATTTTGTTTATCGAAAATCCAAAAATGTAAAAATAAAAATTTTTCGAAATTTCAAACTTGATTTTTCAATATTTTGACCAACCAAAAAGTAGACAAATCGGAAAACCGAGAAATCGAAACATCAAACGATCGGGACATTGAAAAGTAAAAAAATCGACAGACCGAAAAATCTAAAATTAAAACATCCGAAAATCAAAAAATTGAAGTGTTGAGAAGTTGAAAAATCGAAAATTTGAGAAATGGAAAATTCAGAAAATCAAAAAATGTCAAATTTAAAGAAACGAAAAATTGGAAAAAACAGGAAATCGAAAAGCATGGAAATAGCTCAAATTTGAAAAATTTAAAAACCGAAAAGATGAATTAAAAAAATGTAAAATTTAAAAAACGAAAATTTGTAGAAATGAAAAATTAAAGAATCGCAAAATTGAAGAAATAAATAATAATAATCATCTTTATTTTCGGAGGGTTCCTTTTACAATATTATTTTCATAACAGGATGAGCAATAAGAAGGCTGAAACAGTCATAAATTTGAAAAAATAAAGAAAATAAAAAACTGAAATGGAAAATGGAGGCACGAAAAATTGCAAACTCGTGAAATTTCAAACCGAAAAATTAAACGAAAAAATATAAAAATTAAAATATCCCAAATTTAGAGATCGAAAAACGGAAAAAACAAAAGATTATAAAATCGAAACAATAAAAAAAATCGAAAAATTGTAAAAATAAAGAAAATAAAAAACCGAAACGAAAAATTGAAAAATTATGAAACTGAAAATTCTAAAATTGAAAAAACGAACAACTAAAACCGAGAGTTTGAAAATCGAAAAAATTGAATAACATCTTCCGGTAAGTCAAAAAATCGAAAATTGAAAAATAGAAAATTCGATAAATAAAAAATCCAAAATTCGAAAAAACGAAAATCCGAGAAATCGCAAAACCGAAAAATCCAAAATTTGAAAATTGAGATTGGAGAATATCGAAAAAATCAAGAATCTAAATAGAGAAAAAGCGAAATATTTGACTTAATTGAAAAGTCGAAAAATCTAAATATTGAAAATTGAAAAAAAATGACCATTCAAAATAAAAAAATTTTGAATGTCGAAAATCCAAAAAAATGGAAAAATCCAAAATTTTCCAAATGTCGAATTTAAATTTTCCAAATGTCGAATTTTTGGTTTTTCCATTTTTTTGTAAAATCGAAAAACTAAAACCAAAAACTAGAATTAAAATATCAAAAAATTGAAAAATTCAAAAAATTCCAAAAATTGAGAATTTAAAAATTGAGAAATCGATAAGGAAACAAATTGAAAATTCACTGAATCAAATCGAAAAAACGAAAATTCGAGAAATCGAAAAATCAAAAACTTGAAAATGGAAATTTCGAAATATCCAAGAATCGGAATAAGAAAAAAACGAAACACAAAGGCGAGAAATGGAAAAATCCAAACATCGAAACGTTGAAAAATGGAGAAATTGAAAAATGTATAATTCAAAATAAAAACTTTTGAGCATCGAAAAAATGAAAATTCAAAAAATGGAAAAATAAAAAATTTTCAAAATTCCAAATTTTTGACTTTTCAATTTTTTTTTTTAAATCGAAAAACCAAAAAGTAAAAATAAAAATATCCAAACATTGGAAAATTCAAAGAATTCCAAAAACTGAAGTGTTGAAAAATTGAAAAATCCAAAATTCGAAAAATTGAATCAAATATTCGAAAAAACGAAAATCCGAGAAATCGAAAACCGAAAAATTCCAAAAATTGAAAAATGGAGAAATCGAAAAGGAGACAAATTGGAAACTCGAAAACACGAACATCCGAGAAATCGAAAAATTAAAAATTTTAAAATCGAGACTTCGAAAAATCCAAAAATCGAAATATAAAAAACCAAATATAAAGTCGGAAAATAAAAAATTCTAAAATTGAAAAGTCGGAAAATGGAAAAATCCAAGAATTGAAAAATAAAAAATCAAAATTCTAAAATTGAAATGTTGAAAAATGGTGAAATTGAATGATTTATAATTTAAAATAAAAAAAATGTATTTCGACAAATAGAAAAGTCAAACAATGGAAAAATAAAAAATCTTTGAAATTTCGAACTTTTGATTCTCCCATTTTTTTGAAAAATCAAAAAACTAAAACGTGGAACAAGAATTGTTATTTGATAATTCCAAATAAAAAAATGTTGATTATCGAAAATCCAAAAATGGAAAAATAAAAATTTTTCGAAATTTCAAAAAAGTAGACAAATCGGAAAACCGAGAAATCGAAACATCAAACGATCGGGACATCGAAAAATCCAAAAATTCCAAAAGTTGAAGTGTTTAAAAGTTGAAAAATCGAAAATTTGACAAATGGAAAATTCAGAAAATCATAAAATGTCAAATTTAAAGAAACGAAAAATTGGAAAAAAACAGGAAATCGAAAAACATGGAAATAGTTCAAATTTGAAAAACTTAAAAACCGAAAAATTTGAAGAAATGAAAAATTAAAGAATCGAAAAATTGAAAAAATAAATAATAATCTTTGTTTTCGGCGGGTTCCTTTTACAATATTATTTCATAATAGGATGAGCAATAAGAAGCCTGAAATAGTAAAAAATTTGAAAAAATAAAGAAAATAAAAAACTGAAATGGAAAATGGAGGCACGAAAAATTGCAAACTCGTGAAATTTCAAACCGAAAAATTAAACGAAAAAATATAAAAATTAAAATATCCAAAAGTTAGAAATCGAAAAACTGAAAAATGAAAAGGTGAAAACTTGAAACAAAAAAATTTTCACAGAAACGGGAATTGTTGGGCTAGACTTCGGCGCGAGGGAAGTTCTGTCAAAATAACCTGTGACAGTTGAAGCTTGACAGTTGACATAAGACAAACCTAACACCAACCTTACCAAAAAAATCCCTAATTTTTCGATTTTTCAGAACCTCATCCTCAAGAACAACTTCATCGAGGACCTAGCAGGCCTGCGCACCCTCACCAATTTATGGGTGCTGGACCTCAGCAACAACTGCCTCGTCGAGCACAAATCCCTCCTCACTCTCTCCCACTTAGCCACCCTCCAGTGGCTCAACCTCCAAAACAACCCCCTGAGCTGGCACCCAAACCACCGCAACAGAACCGCCAGCTACCTCCACACCAACACCGCTTCCACCCACTTCGTGCTCAACAACGCCGCCTTGACCAAAAGCGAGAAGCACCTGGCGGGGTCCTACCACCCCCACCAGGCCAGAGGGGGCACCTTCGCCACCGACTCCGTCAACCTCGCGAGCGACAAGGTGCGCCGGGTGCGGCACGTGGTGATCGAGGAGGAGAACGCCGTGAGGGAGAGCCGCGACGAGCGGCTCCCAACGGGTCAGAGGCAGTACTTGGAGACGAAGAGGCAAATCGAGGACCTCCACGAGAAGTTCGGGGAGTCGTGGCTGAACTCCCAGAGCGGCTTACTAGACGTGCTGGGGTTGGAAGGCATCGCCGTGGGGTTGTCCACCAGCCCGTACGAAGCCGACTTTACCATCTACTCCGGGGATTTCACCTCGCACAAGGACGAAGTGGAGAAAGCTGAAGAGGTGGAGGTCGACGACGAGAATATCAACGAAGAGTATAATGAAGTGGACACTCCGGATGTTAGCATGGAGGAGCCGGACGTGGAGGAGGAGAGTATTTATCTGGCGACTGTCAAAAATGAGACTGAGCCGGTGCTTCTGGTCGTGGGGCAAACGCATCTCTCGGAGAGGGAGTGCTCGACGAGCAACGAAAGGGATAAGTGGCACGTGGACAGCATCCTCAGCTGCGAGATCATCGACGAGGGGGTGACGGTCCAGATGGATTTTGAGACGATGAGGAAGGATAGGAAGCAGAGAATTTACGTTTTCGAGGACGAAATCGAGGCTTTCGTGGCCAGAGTCAAAAATAAAATTAATTCAAGGACCCCCAAGAAGGAGGACGACGTGAAGTACCAATGTATGAAGTGCTCCACGGTGTTTGCCAAACTGAAGAACGGCTCGATTTTGGAGGAAGAGGCGGTTGTGAAGTGCCCAAACTGTGATAGTACACTGGTGGTAGAATACTCATAATTTCAAATATTTTTGTTTTTTTTTTTAAGAACATACGATATACATTGTTTATCATTCTTAAGCCTGATATGTATATAATTTAAGAATAAACTATTTCGTAACGCTTCCAGGTTCAAAAACACGAACACACCCTGTATAACAGACCCGATAATGTCGAAATGAGGTTAACCCGTCCTAACCTCACTTCCGTTTTCGAAAAATCCTTTTATTTAATTGTATTGATTGTTACAAATTTCACATATTAATAAACATCATTAAACAAATTAGGATCGGTTATAACAAATCTATTTTAGATCCTATATATATATGGAACAGTGACTTTTGATATCTTCAGTCCCCCAAACCCCCCCTCACTCACTCCCCTCGTTAAAATCCGTCGACGTCTCCGTATTAAAATCCGTGATAATAAACCAACTAGGCACTTGCCACAGCTGAGCCACTTTGGCCTCCATACTCCTCTCCTCCTCCTTCAAGTGACTTAAGTCACTCTTCAACTTAGCGTGTCGCTTGCTTAGTGCGTTCAGCTGCTGGCAGAGGGCGTTGTGAGTCATCGACGTGTCCTGGAGACGTCTCTGTAGACTTTTGATTTCATTTTCGCGCTCTATAAAATCACGATTACCAACTGAAATCGAAAGGGGTAGACTTACTAGAGACGGCGCTCACCAAACCGACCACGCAGTCGGCGACGGATGGGGTTTTTTCGTCCTTTGGGTTGGCAACGTGGGGCATGGCGTCCAGGCTGGACTCGTCCAAGGAGGTGCTCAAAATCCCGCTGTCGGAAGCCGAGTGGTCTAGTTCTTTTTTCATGTCACCGGCTACGGATTGGGTGTGTTGGCGGCCCTGCAAGTGCTCGCGCTTGTTGTGGAGGTTGTGGAACCACTGGTCGCACGTGCGGCAATAAAGTTCTTCGTTATCTTCCTCCTTAGGGTCAAATTAGTTAGATAAAATAGTGGAAGGTTATTTGGGTAGAACTTCCCCCATCCGTGAAGTAATAAATATCGCTTTTTTGGAAAATTATAAAATTGAATATTGGGATTTTTGTTTTTACCTGTACAGTAAAAACCAAAAGATGGAAAAACGGAAAATCGAATAATTGAGAGTTTGAAAGTCGAAAAATTAGACTAAAATCTTGCGGAAAGTCAAAAGATTGAAAATTGAAAAATTGAAAAGCAAAAAAACTGAAAAGCCTAAAATTGAGCAATGTAAAAGTTGGAAACCGAAAAGTTAAAAAATTGAAAAGTCTAAAAACTGAAAAATAGAAGAAGTGATAAATCAAAAATTCCAAAAATCGAAAATTAAAAAAATGGAAAAATTGAAAAATCAAGAAATCAAAATTAAAAAAAATTGAAAATCGAAAAACTGAAAAATAAAAGAAAACGAGAAATCGAAAGTTTTAAAATTAAAAAATTACAAAACAATTAAAAGTCGAAACATCAAAAAATCGGAAAATCGAAAAACCGAGAATTCGAAAAATTGAAACATGGAACAATTGAAAAATATCAAAAGTCGAAAATCTGAACAATCGAGAAATTGAAATAACCCAAAATCGAAAATTTGATGAAATTGAAAAATCGATAAATCAAAAAATTAAAATATAAAAAAGTTGAAGATGAGAAAACTTGAAAACTCGGGAAATCGAAAAATCAAAAAATCAAATCGAAAAATTAAAGAATTGAAAATCTGAAAATTGAAAAATCGAGAAGTGGCGAAACCAAAACAACGAGAAATAGAAAATCGAAATATCGAAAATTCCAAAAATGTAAAATGAAAAAAAAGGGATACCGAAAAATCTAAAATTTAAGAAAAAATAAAAGATCGAGAAACTGAAAAAACGTAAAAGTGAAACGTAGAAATATTGGGAAATCAAAAAATTGAAAAATCGAAACAAAAAATTGGAAAATCGAAAATCTGAAAAGCCTAAAAATCGAAACATTGAACAACTGGAAAACTAAAACATCGAGAAATCAAAATATCAAAACATGGGGAAATTGAAAGGTCAAGTAGTCGAAAAATCGAAAAATCAAACAAACGAGAAATCGAAACATCTAAAATTTAAGAAATCAAAAAATTAAAATATAAAAAAATTGAAGAGAAAACTTGAAAAATCAGAAAATCGAAAAATCAAAAAATCAGAACGAAAAATTAAAGAATCGAAAATCTGAAAATCGAAAAATCGAGAAGTCGACGAACCAAAACATCGAAAATTCTAAAGATGCAAAATCAAAAAACGAGAAATCGAAAAATGTAAAATTTAAAAAACTAAAAAATCGACAAATTGAAAAACCCCACAAGTAAAACATAAAAAATTGGGAAATCAAAAAATTGAAAAATCGAAACATCAAAAAATTGGAAAATCTAAAATCTGAAGAAGTGAAAAATCGAACATTCGAAAAATCGGGAATTGAAAAATTGGAAAATCGAGAAATCGGAAAGGAAACAAATCGAAAACTCGAAAATATAAAAATCGAAAATACGAAAAATCAAAAATTTGTAAATCGAGATTTAGAAAAATCGAAAAATTCATGAATCGAAATCTAGAAAAAAACGAAAATTCTAAAATCGAAAGGCCAAAAAAATGGAAAAATTGAAAAATGGGAAAACCGGGAAATCGAAAAGCTGAGAAATCATTACACCGAAAAATTGAAAAAAATCCAGAAATGAAAAATTTCCCAAAATTGAAGTGTTGAAAAGTTGAGAAATCGAAAATTTTAAACATTGGAAAACCGAGGTTGAGAAATGGAAAAATGGAATATTAAAAAACGAAAAATTGATAAATTGAAAAATAAAAAAAGGGGAAATCCAAAGTTCTAAAGTTTAAAAAATTACAGGATCGAAAAATTGAATCGAGATATTGAAAAATACCAACACTGAAATATTAAAAAATTGGGAAATCCAAAAAATGAAAAATCTAAACATTAAAAATTGGAAAATCGAAAAACCGAGAAATTTAAAAATTGATACAGACCAATTGAAAAATAGAAACATCGAGAAATCAAAATATCAAAAAATCGAAGAATTGAAATTTGAAAAATTGATGAAACTGAAATATCAGAAAAATGAAAAGTCGATAAATCGAAAAATCTAAAATTTAAGAAATCAAAAAATTAAAATGTAAAAAAAATTGAAGAAGACAAAACTTGAAAAATCGAGAAATCGAAAATTCAAAAAATTAGATCGAAAAATTAAAGAATTGAAAATCTGAAAATCGAAAAATCAAAAGTCGAGAAACTGAAACATCGAGAAATAGGAAATCAAAATAACGAAAATTCGAAAAATGTAAAAAAAGGCAACCGAAAAATTCGAAATTAAGAAAAATTAAAAATCGAAAAATTAAAAAACCCCAAAACTGCAACATTGAAAAAGTCAAAAATCAAAAAAATTAAAAATCGAGAAATAAGAAATCAAAATATTGAAAATTCGAAATACGTAAAATAAAAAAAAGGGAAACGGAAAAATCTAAAATTAAAAAAAAACAAACGAGAAATTGAAAAAAGCTAAAACTGAAACGTAGAAAAATTGGGAAATCAAAATATTAAAAAATTTAAACATCAAAAAATCGAAAAGCCGAAAAGCCTAAAAATCGAAACATTGAACAACTGGGAAATTGAAACATTGAGAAATAAAAAATCAAAAGATGGAGAAATTGAAAAGTCGAAAAATTGAAAAATCGAGAAATCAAAATAATCCAAAATCCGAAAATGGAAAAATTGATAAAACTGGAAAACCGAAAAATTAAATAATCGAAAAATGGAAAAATTCAAAGAACGAAAAATTGAAAAATCGATAAATCGTTATACGATTTTCTGATTTCTTTAAAGTTAAAAATGTATGATTAAAAAATTAAAAATGTAATTTTTGCACTTTTTCGATTTTTATTTAACCTTTGGGTTTTTGAATTTTTCGTTTCTTCAATGTTTCAAGTTCTTGATTTTGAGTTTTCAATTTTGATTTCTCACTTTCACAATTTTGCAATTTTTCCATTTTTTTATTCGAAAAGTTGAAAAATCGAAAAATTCTAAATCGAAGAACGAAGAAACGAAAAATGAAAAACTAAAAATCGGGAATCATCAAAATTCAAAAAAGTTAATGAATCGAAAAATTGGAAAATCCAAATGTTGTAAAACCGAAAAATTATAGAATCGAAAAACTGTAACACAGAGATCGAAAAATTGAAAAATTAAAAATCGAAAAATTGAAAAATCCAATAAATGAAAAAGTTTTAAAATCCAATAACTGAAAAATGCAAACAATTTAAAAATTATATTTATTAAATATGTAAAATGAAAACTAGAAAAATTGCAAATCAAAAATTGAAGAAACGAAAAATTGAAAAATCGAGAAACTGAAAAATTTTAAATTTAAAACCGAAAAATTGCAAATCGAAAAACTGACAAATCCAAAAATTGAAAACTTTCGCAAAAAAATATAAAATCAAAACAACAGAAACGAAAAACTGAAAAATTAAAAACTGAACATCAAAGAGTTGGAAAATCGAAAAAAATTGTTTTTTTTTTCGTTTTTTCTTTTTCTTTCGTTTTTTGATTTTTCCATTTTTCAATGTTTCAGTTTTATAATTTTTCGTTCTTCCAACTTTAATTTTTTCAATTTCTCGATTTCCAAAATTTTCAGTTTTTCTATCTGCAATTTTTCAATTTTTAATTTTTCGATTATTCAATTTTTCGTTTCCACAATTTTTCAAGTTCTTGATTCTTAGTTTTCATTTTCCCGATTTTTAAATTTTTATTTTCCCGATTCTTTAATTTTCATTTTTCCGAATTTATATGACAATTTTTCATTTTTTCAGTTCTTTTATTTATTCAGTATTTTATAATTTAACGATTATTCAATTTTTCAAATTTTCAATCTTAGATACTTTTCAGTTCCACGCAAAAAATCAGAAATCGAGAAATCGAAAAATCTAAGAAATCAAAAAATTAAAATGTGCAAAAATTCAAGAGAAAACTTAAAAAATCGGGAAATCGAAAATTAAAAAAATCAAATCGAAAAATTAAAGAATTGGAAAATCTGAAAATCGAAAAATGGAGAAGTCGAGAAACCAAAACATCGAGAAATAGGAAATTAAAATATCAAAATTTCGAAAAATGTAAAAAAACCTAAAATCCAAGATTTAAAAAAATCCAGACATTGAAAAAACCCAAAAGTGAAACAGAAAAATTGGGAAATCAAAAAATTGAAAAATCGAAAAAACAAAGCTTAAAAATCGAAACATGGAACAATTCAAAAATAGAAAAATCGAGAAATCGAAAATTCAGAAAATTAGATCGAAAAATTAAAGAATTGAAAATCTGAAAATCGAAAAATCAAGAAGTCGAGAAACTGAAACATCGAGAAATAGGAAATCGAAATAACGAAAATTCGAAAAATGTAAAAAAAGGCAACGGAAAAATTCGAAATTAAAAAAATTTAAAATCGAAAAATTAAAAAACCCCAAAACTGCAACATTGAAAAAGTCAAAAATCAAAAAAATTAAAAATCGGGAAATCGAAAAGTCGACAAATCAAAACGAAAAATTAAAGAACTGAAAATCGAAAAATCGAGAAATAAGAAATGAAAATATTGAAAATTCGAAATATGTAAAATAAAAAAAAACGGAAACGGAAAAATCTAAAATTAAAAAAAAAAACGAGAAATTGAAAAAAGCCAAAAGTGAAACGTGGACAAATTGGAAAATCAAAATATTAAAAAATTGAAATATCAAAAAATCGGAAAATCGAAAAGCCTAAAAATCGAAACATGGAACAATTGGGAAATTGAAACATTGAGAAATAAAAATATCAAAAGATGGAGAAATTGAAATGTCGAAAAATTGAAAAATCGAGACATCAAAATAATCCAAAATCCGAAATTGATAAAACTGGAAAACCGAAAAATTAAATAATCGAAAAATGAAAAAATTCAAAGAACGAAAAATTGAAAAATCGATACAATCGAAAAATCAAAAAAATCAGAAGTCGAGAAATCGAAACATCGAGAAATAGGAAATCAAAATATCGAAATTTCGAAAAATGTAAAAAAAAAACTAAAATCCAAGATTTAAAAAAAAAAAACAGAAATTGAAAAAACCCAAAAGTGAAACAGAAAAAGTGGGAAATCGAAAAATTGAAAAATCGAAAAACCGAAGAGCTTAAAAATCGAAACACGGAACAATTCAAAAATAGAAAAATCGAGAAATCGAAAATTCAGAAAATTAGATCGAAAAATTGAAACATGGAACAATTGGGAAATTGAAACATTGAGAAATAAAAATATCAAAAGATGGAGAAATTGAAAAGTCGAAAAATAATCCAAAATCCGAAAATGGAAAAATTGATAAAACTGGAAAACCGAAAAATTTAAAAATCGAAAAATGGAAAAATTCAAAGAACGAAAAATTGAAAAATCGATAAATCGAAAAATCAGAAGTCGAGAAATCGAAAAATCTAAGAAATCAAATAATTAAAATGTGCAAAAATTGAAGAGAAAACTTAAAAAATCGGGAAATTGAAAATTAAAAAAATCAAATCGAAAAATTAAAGAATTGGAAAATCTGAAAATCGAAAAATCGAGAAGTCGAGAAACCAAAACAGAGAAAAATGTAAAAAAACCTAAAATCGAAAATTTAAAAAAAATCCAGACATTGAAAAAACCCAAAAGTGAAACAGAAAAATTGGGAAATCAAAACATTGAAAAATCGAAAAACCGAAGAGCTTAAAAATCGAAACATGGAACAATTGAAAGATTGAAATATCGAGAAATCAAAATATCAAAAGATAGAGAAATTGAAAAGTCGAGAAGTCAAAAAACTTAAAAATCGAGAAATCGAAATAAACCAAAAGCGACAAACTGATAACACTGGAAAAAAAAATAAAAATCGAAAAATTGAAGTATCGAAAAATGGAAAAATTCGAAAAACGAAACATTGAAAAATCGAAAAATAAAAAATCCAAAATTTAGGGAATCTAAAAATTTTAAAATTAGAAAACTAAAAACTGACAAGTCCCAAAACTGAAATATCGAAAAATTGAGAATTCTAAAAATCGGGAAAACGAAAAATTGGTAAAATTTTGATTTTTTCCAAAAACCTCGATGTCTAGGATAAAAACTCAACGCGGATTCATAAACCACAAGTATAGGAATACCTTACTTATAAAATTTATTCATCCTATTCTTGGTGGGGATGATTGGCCAAATTTTGCTTATCGTTTTACCATCTACACGATATTCCTAATGCGGACAGACGACAGACAGACGGAAACGGGGACTTACTTTTTCATACTCTACGGGTCATGAAACCTCGCTTACTTACATCTATTTCATCAGTGGCATCCATGTCGCTCTCCGACAACACATTATTCTGCAACCTATCCCTCCTCTTTTTGGCCAAATACGCCCTATAAGCATCCGACTGCCTATACTGCTTCAGCTCCTCCCTATACCTCCTCTTATCCTCCTCCGCCTTCGCCAAATACGGCCTCTTCTCCTCCAAACTCAAATTCGACCATTTATTCCCCACGATCTTCGTAATCTCATGAAACACCAAATTGCTATCCTTAAACAGCTTGCGCTGCTCGTTCAAGTACAGATTGTACCCGGTGGCCGGCGCCTTCGGGGGCAGATTTTTCAGCTCAGGCTTGCGCTTCCGCCCCTTCGGCCACCCCCCGCGTCTCTTGGGGGGCTTGTGCACGTCGCTGATCGCCGGCGCCACGATCTCGCTTTTAACCGGATCCGGGGGCTTCCCATTGGAAATCTTCGTCGGCAAAATCGTAATAAACTTGGACTCTTTGCTCGTGGAAGGGGTCGTGGAGGTCAGGGTGATGTAGCTCGAGACGCTCGAGGCCGACGTGAAACTCACGTCGCTGCACTCGCTCGAAAAACCATCACTGTCAAAATTAACCGAGGTCTTGAAAGTTTTATTGGGCACTGCGATGTTCTGCTGGGAGATGAGCTCCGAGGCGACGTTTTTGAGGTCTTCTTCGGAGAGGTTTAAATCGGAGGAGAGTGCGTCGGTGAGGGACATACACACAAGTCTGGAAAAAGTGAGGTTAGGTTTGCGTGAGAAAGTGCGACGAAAATGATACCCTTTGCTCGTTTCGACGAGGATTCCGTTTTGGAGGAGACTGTACGCCTCGTCGACGGTTTCACAGCCTAAAATGTTCTCTTCCATGCTTGACTTTTGAGGTTATGTTGACTTTTTTTGGGGGGTTGGTGGGCCTGCCACTTAGTCTAGTTTTTGGTTTGGGGGGTGATTACTGGTCGATAACGTGGTGCAAAAGTCGGATTACCTTGGTTGGGTGGTTTTGGGGCTCCAACATTCAAAATGGTTGATTTCGAGGGGGCGCGCGGTGGCGGTTTTAGTACATTTTGGGGCACCGGGGGCTGCGTGGGTGCACTGAGGGCGCAAGGACGGCTCGGAAGGGGCCACTTTTTGAAAATTATTGCAATTTTGCTATAAACCACAACAACTTGTTAACTGGTGCTGCCATGTTCGTGGGTGTGGCAAGCGTGGGAACTGCAGTGGCGCCACTTTTGAATCGCGATTCAAGTGTCACTGCGTGTATTATTGGTTGCCTATCTTCGATAAACAAAATTTCGCGTTTTAAGCGTTTTGTGTCGTTTATTATTTTATTTAGTTTGTTTTTTGTGACCTCACATATATATTTCGTGTTTTCTCGTTGTTTGCTTCCATTGTACTACCGTACGCACCAAGTGACAGTCCACACAAATAAACCTGACGTACGTGGGCTGAAGAGTGGGTTGTGATTACCCAGAAAGAACCGTGCTGCACGTCTTATGTTAATAACCACCACGGCCAACAAGGAAGAACCTGGCAGGGGTCACGTGCCGCAAAAAACCGTTTCCTAGTGTAAACCGCCTGCCACGATTTAGGGAATTTCGTTTCAAAGCGAAAGCCGCCATCACACGGTACAATTTTTTTTCTGTGATGAATTAATTGCTCATCCGTAAATAAATTCCGACCGCTGGTGTCTTTGAGTGCAGTGTCGATGCAGCGGTTTTTTCACAAACCGTGTGCATTCTGCAGCTCTTTGTCAATTTGTGCTACCGCTTGAGCGTAAGATTGGCACCCTTTGATGACTGGTTTCGGTTGCATCGACGATTCGTTCGGTCGGTTTGGTGTGCTTTCGAGTGCAGGTAACATCAGTTTAGTAAAAATTCGCGGGAGCGTGGACCACCCGCGGATAATAAAAATCCCTAAGCGCTCACGCAGATGCAGGGCGGCCATTTTTCACTATTACAACTTCCAGTGAACTACCGTTTACCGTGATCACGAATTATTTAAACAAGACTTGAACAATGAAAGATCCTGAGATAGGAATCTCGGAGGGCATTATCTGCGAGATCTCATCTCGCGCAGACGTCACAATAAATAATCAACTACTACACATATTAAACATCGTCGGTTTACTAGACTCGTGTCATTTACTACCAACACAAGAGAAAAAAATTCGCATTCTGCAGGCACGTAATGTAAACATGTATTCTGATTTAATTCAGTGTAAGACAAGCAGTGCGTGTTCTCATTAAGTCAGCACAAACCGCAAGAAGCTGTCTGGATCGTAACATCTCATTCGGACGCTTGCTTTTGGGTGATAAGAACACTTCCGGCCACCAAACTAACGGACCGTTAGCACTTTTGCGAAATTAATTGCTTGTCATGGGAAGTAGCGCTCTCAAAAGTTTTAAATAAATCACGCTTTCAATTAAATACTGCGTGTACGAGTCCCTCCCACTGGTAGTAGAAAACATTTTTACAACATAAATCACCCGATGGGACGTTTGAGCACCGCTGTCGATTTTTAGTAAGTCCGTGCAAGCCGGAGAGGGGAGTCGCCACAAGAAATACACCACATAATTCCACTACATTACAAAATCATCACTACAATTTAAAAAATCTTTCGACTAATGCAGCGATTCCCCTCTTCTCACCCAACCCGGACCTACCCACCCCAAAACCCTCCAAACTTTCCCATTTTCCCACACCTCCCGCTCAGTGGGTGGCTAATCGTCATACCTTATCTCTCTCGTTCCTCTTAGGTTGAAACGCCGATGATGATATCTCCCAAATAAATCAATTCGCATTCTCGGCTTGTTCGTTACCGTAAAGCACGCGCTGCACTAAACTAGATTCGTCGTCTAGAAGCGACGAATGCACGTAATGTGCAAGCGTCCTTATTGCACTTTTGCCAGACATTACGCGAGACTTATACGTGCCATATTTACTAAGAGGTTCCGAGACGTCTGATAGCTAAGACGTGTCGACATCAACGTGATATCTTAAAGAAAAGTAAATTAAAGCGGACGGGCGAGAGCACAAAGGCGATGCTTGCAGGGAAATGGGGGCCAGCTTTTGTTGTGGGCAGTGGCGGCGAAGGGCGGAGGCCCACCCACCCACCCATCCCTCTTTGTTCGACGCTGAAATGCTCTTAAGTCGAGCAGAAAATGGATATTGTCCACAATAACTTCGAGCGATTAATTATAATAACCGTAGTGGCAATTTGCTTTAACTATCAAGGCATTTATTGATAGTTAAATGATAAAAAGTAGCACTTGTAGCTATACTATTTGACACTATAAAACAAAATACAGCCAAATATAGATTTTCTAGACTTTGTTTGCATTAACTATCACTAGTTAGTTTTTTCACCGTTTAGAACAATCGTTAGTTATAAGTGTAGAAATAATAATGATATTGACTAAAAGGGGCACCAAGTTAAAAAGCGAAGTTTAACTATCAAAAGTAACAGCACTGGTAATTTATTGTAACTATTAAGGCAGTTGTTATTGATAGTTAATTGAAAAAAATAGCACTTGTAGTTATGATATTTCTGGATTATAACACAGTTCTACGCTCAAATATAGACTGTCCAGACTTTTCCCGCATTAACTATCACTAGTTAGTTTTTTCGCCATTTATAACAACCGTTAGTTATAAGTGTAGAGATGATAATAATAATGAAAAATGAAGTAACAAGTTTGAAAAATTTTTAAATTTACAATTTTTCACTTTTACAACTTTTTTTTATTTCCTCTATTTTTTATATACAGTAATGTTCGGTTATAACGAACCTCATGGGACTGGGAAAAGTAGTTCGTTATATCCGAAGTTCGTTATAAATGATCTCAAAAAAATCAATACATACTTTCATAAACTGAACTACGTATTTCAGGATGCAACATTTAAAAGTATTACAAAAATATAAACATGTAAAGATAATAATACAGTAGTACATATAAGAAAAAAGACTTGATTAATAAAAAGTTGATTAAAAATACAAGTTGTTACTTAAAATAATCTCAAATTTTACGTTGCTTCTTGTGAGAAAGATTAATTTAAGAGGGTTTTGGGATCGTTCCCTCTTTTTCTTCTTCTTCTTCGTTATCATCATCGTCTTCAGTCTCATCTTCTGTTTGAATGTTGCATTGAACTAATTCTACAACAGCAGCATCATCCAAAATTTCAGACTTCACTAAAATATCGTCAAAATAGACGTATTCTTCGAAGTCGATATCAAATTCATAGTCAGAATGCTTTCTCAGCCATTCAACCAATAGTAGTTCGTCTTCTGGGGTGGGATTTTGTTTCTATAACGATAAAATATCGGTACCGATAAAATGTGGTCGTCTTTTTCTTTCGCATCTGAAATTTATATTTTCGTCCTTGTCATTTATCGCTTCGTATCGTATCGTATTGTATCGGTAGAAACAAAATCTCACCCCTGGTTCAAATTTTTCCTCACACTGGAGAAACAGCAATTGTTTGTTCTGATACTTTTTGCCATGCCATACTGATAAAATTGACGGGATCTAATAGATTCACACAAAAGTGTTCATGACTATTGTCGAGATAAAGCTGACTGGTGAAAAAGTTCGTTATAAACGATTTTTTTTTCTTAAATATTAAAAATTTGGTTCGTTTTATCCGAAAGTTCGCTATAAGCGAGTTCGTTATAATCGGAAAAAAATAACACGTATCTTATGGTACTTCAGTTCGTACTTTGCAAGTTGGTTCGTTATATCAGGAAGTTCGCTTTAACCAGGTTCGCTATAAGTGATCATTACTGTATTTTCAGTTTTTAAATTTAATATTTTCAATTTTTCGATTTTTCAACTTTAAAATTTTTTATTTTAAGTTACATACTCTGTTTTATGATTTTTAATTTTTCCCATTTTTGCGAATTCTAGATATGTATTTTAAGTTTTCGTTATTTTAAGTTTTGGATTTTTTATTTTTCCGATTTCCCAATTTTTCACTTTTGAAGTTTTTCGATTTTTCAATTTTTCGATTTTTCAGTTTCTGAATTACTCAGTATCTTAATTTTCGCTTCTTTAAATTTTGCAATATTTCGATTTTTCAATTTTCCGAATTTAAAATTTTTCACTTTTTAGATATTTTAATTTTTCGATTGTTTAAGTTTTCAATTTTTTCATTTTTGAACTTTTGAATTTTCCAATTCGTAGTTTTTTCAATTTTAAACTTTTGCCATTTTCCGATTTTCCAGTTTGAAATTTTCGGATTTTTCAGTTTTGATTTTTTAACTTTTAATTCTTCAGTTCATTTTTTGAATTTTTCCGTTTTATAATTTTTCGATTTTTCAGTTTCTTGATTTCTCAAATTTTGTTTCTTTTTAATATTTCAATTTTTCGATTTTTTAATTTGTCATTATTTCAATTCACCGATTTTTCATTTTCCCGATTTGTCAATTTTTTATTTTTTAAAATATTTCAATTTTTAGATTTTTAACTTTTGAATTTTCCAATTTTGAAAATTTTCGATTTTTCAATTTTTCGATTTTTCAGTTTCTGAGTTACTCAGTTTCTTAATTTTCGTTTCTTTAAATTTTGCAATATTTCGATTTTTCAATTTTCTGAATTTAAAATTTTTCGCTTTTTAGATATTTTAATTTTTCGATTGTTTAAGTTTTCAATTTTTTCATTTTTGAACTTTTGAATTTTCCTATTCGCAGTTTTTTCAATTTTAAACTTTTGCCATTTTCCGATTTTCCAGTTTGAAATTTTCCGATTTTTCAGTTTTTGATTTTTTAACTTTTAATTCTTCAGTTAATTTTTTTAATTTTTTCATTTTATAATTTTTCGATTTTTCAGTTTCTTGATTTCTCAAATTTTGTTTCTTTTTAATATTTCAATTTTTCGATTTTTTAATTTGTCATTATTTCAATTCACCGATTTTTCATTTTCCCGATTTGTCAATTTTTTATTTTTTAAAATATTTCAATTTTTGGATTTTTAACTTTTGAATTTTCCAATTTTGAAAATTTTCGATTTTTCAATTTTTTGATTTTTCAGTTTCTGAATTACTCAGTTTCTTAATTTTCGTTTCTTTAAATTTTGCAATATTTCGATTTTTCAATTTTTCGAATTTAAAATTTTTCGCTTTTTAGATATTTTAATTTTTCGATTGTTTAAGTTTTCAATTTTTTCATTTTTGAACTTTTGAATTTTCCAAATCGCAGTTTTTTCAATTTTAAACTTTTGCCATTTTCCGATTTTCCAGTTTGAAATTTTCCGATTTTTCAGTTTTTGATTTTTTAACTTTTAATTCTTCA